CATCCTGTAGCCAGGTGGACTTTTGATTTTCTTATTGTGTTTACAGTGGGCCTAATCTTGAAGGCTTGGGCATCCTTGGGTGCTAAGAGGTAACACAGGACGTTGAGTGTCTACTGGGCACTAGTCTAAGCACTTTATGGATGTCCCCTGCCAGCTACCTAGAGTGGCTACTATTATTGCCCACATTTCACAGAGRGGGAACTGAGGCTCAGAGAGGGCAAATATCTTCCCAGGGTCACACAGGGAGTAACCTGTGTCCAGGCCCATCAGCCCACTCCAGAGTCTGCCTTTCAAGACAGGATTTTGGCTGCAGCTTGCTCCCAAGAAGCTATAGTTTTCAGAGGGCAAGTTGAATGACCCTGTTCCCAGGCCTTGAGCCAGGTTTTGCTTTTCTGGAGTTCTCCTTCTTTGAAGTTGTTCAGGGATAAACTTCCAGAAATCGCTGTCACATGTATATGTTCAGTTCCATTCATTAGAGCATCCAAAGTGAAGGAGGTGCGGGTTGTTCTTACCTGGAACCTGGAGTCTGCAGGTAAGATGATGTAAAGTTAGACAAGTGCCAGAAAGAGGTGATGTTGGGACAATGAAGGGCACATCTTGTCTACTAGAGGGAATCAGGAAAGGCTCCATGGAGGAGGTGGTATTGAGGTGAGCTTAGGAGGACTGTTCAGGTCATTAGGTTGACATGGAAATGGAAAGTGGGCCAGGTGAGGTAAGGACTTGAGCAGTAGGTGGGCTCTGGGAGCATGTGAGTGAGCTGGGCTGGGGAGTAGCTGGGGAGGAGGCTGCAGGGGAGGGGAGGAGTGGGGCTTCTTGGGGTCGTGTGTTGGACAGAGGAGAAGCTTCTAGGTAAGAGGGAAAGGGATGGCAGCATGGGCAACTGGGCTTCAGTGCCACTGCTGGATAGTGTCTGAATCCACGGGGTGCAGGGAGCAGTGGCTCCRGGGAATGTCTGCCTCTGTAATACCTGCAGGATGCGGCGGGTGGGGGACTCAGATGACTCACTGTGGTATGGGACCAGCTGGGGGGCGAGGGGAAAAATTTGGGTGGGTGGATGGGGCCTTGGAGATGGTTTACTGCTAGTAGGGAAGTAGCCACCTCATGATGTGGCAGAGGCCTGCCCCCAGGCTTGAGGAGGAGAGGAGGAGGGATGGCCAAGGTGAGCTGTCCTCTGGCTGTCATGACCCTGATGAGGGTAGAAAGGGCCAAGGTCCAGAAGCTTTGGCTCCTTGGAGTAGACATGATGCCCCAAGTCATCTCTGTTCTCCCTCTTCCTCTACCCCTTACCCCTCTTTGGAGTCAGGCAGACCTACTGAATCCTAGGTCTTCCCTTTACCAGCTGTGGAGCCTGCTTACATGGCTTTGAGTCCCATCTCTTACATCTGTGAGATGGAAGAAGGATTACATCTTCCTTGTAAGATTAAAATTACTGATTAAAATCAGTAGAAAGATGTCCATGGTTGGCTCGGTGTGGGCACATGGTGAATATTGATAAATCCTAGCAGCGAACGTAATCAGTATAATTGTTCTGTTCCCCACCTCTGTCCTCTCTCCTCAGGTCCCCACCCTCCTCCAGCAGAGGTATATATGACACTCCTCTTTTGCTCTTAGCCCTGAGGGCTCCCTCTTTGTCCAGCTCATGACCTACTCACACTTGAGCACAGCTACCAGCAGCTTTGCCCTGGTCCTTGGGCCTCCGCAGTGGCCAGCAGCCTCATGGTTGCCATGCCCACTCTCAGTGGTGGGGCCTGCCATCTGGTAGGGTGGTAGGAAGCCAGGCCTGTGTGTGTGTGGTCAGCCAGGGCATCAGACCCAAGTGCCCGTCGCTTCTGTTTGTTAGGAAAAGAGGGGGTGACACCTGGGAAACCTTTTGCCTTTCCGTGTTAATAATGTCAGAGGCCTACTTTTTGTCTGATCCCTCCACCAACACACACTTACACCCACTCGCTCTCAAGCCCTCTTCCGTGGTTTCACAGCCTGCCCACACTCCTCCCCCCTGAAGCCCTTTGCCTGCTTTGGGGGCTGGCATCTTTTGCCTCCTCATCAGGACCTGTGAGTGTTACTTAGAATTGTGCAGGAGTTGAGGCAGCTTCTGCTAGCCTGAGACGATAATTGYTCTATTTAAAGATGGCCCTGGAGCCAGAAGAAGCCAGGTGTCCCCATGTGTCTGTGGTAGAGCTGCCTTATGCTCAGTGGCTTGTGCAGGGGGTGGGGGCAGGGCAGGAGGGCCTAGGCAGTTGCCTTAGTGGTATCCGCCTGGCATCCCTCTCTGGGCTCATTTTTTCCACTGGTTCTGTGTGCCATTTGGCCAGAGGAAGTAGAATTGCTACCTGGTTCTCAGGGAGGCTGGGAAAGCGCTGCTGGCCTTGAAACCAGCTTCTTAGTTGTCAGAATGACCAGGAGGATTTGGGAAGGATGAGTTGGACCAAATAGCACCTCACAGCCTGTTCGCCCCTCCTGAGAACTTTTCCAACCCCTTTCCTGTAAGGAACTCTCGACTCCACCGCAGGCCTGCCTTTGTCCTACACTAAGGTAATTCCTTCTCCCCTGCCACGGTGGGGTGCTTTCTTCTTCTCAGAGCTCTGCTCATCAATGACCTCATCCCTCTAAGGCAGACAAAACAAGGGTGGCAGGTTCCATCTTACAGCAGAGGCCTCACTAGTGGTGACCAGCCCAAGGCAGATATCCCAGATCAGCTGGGTAAATACCCCTGAGATGACTTCCCAGGACCTCCTGACTGCCTGAGGTCATCTAGCTGGTCTCTGGTAGAAAGACCCACGTCCCAGATCTCCTAAGGCCCAGCTCTCGGCTTCTTCCTTTGCCTTGTACTGTAGGCTACCTGGGAATTTGCTGGGTTGAGACCACTCCCAGGACACCTGAATGCCTGAGCATACTTTGATCTCCAAAGGATAGCCCCTGCCACAAGGGCCTTCCTAGCCTGCTCTCCTCTTCTGCTCTTTTATTTCTTTTTGATGAGTGGCTGAGTGGGAGAATAGAGGGAATGTGAGCTCAGCTGTTGTTTGGAGAGGGAGGGTGAGGCCTGGGCACAGGGGATGGGAGAATGGGAGGAATTGCTGTTAGCATCAGTGAGATGGCAGTTCTGGCCAGACTGGGACACCAGCCCCTCCCCTCCACTTCCACYTTCTCTGTGGAACCGGGAGGTGAGTGTGGTCTGCCTGGCAGCAGCAACATTGAAAAGGTAGCCTGTAGACCAAGGCGTTCCTTTTCACCTTGGTAGCCTCTCAGAATCCTGCCCTACGTGGTGGGTGTCCAACTAGGGGAAAGGATTCCTGTGATCAGAATTTGTCTCCAGTATCTATGTCTGGGAGCAGGTGTGTGACTACATGTGTATCAGCCCTAGGTCTTCATGTTCCTGTGTCTGCCTCAGAGAGAGAGAGAGAGAGAGAGAGAGAGAACGCATGTGTGCACGTACCAGCTTGAACTATGGGCCCCTCTGTGAATGGCTGTGGATATGAACTCTGGGGTTTTCCTGCTGCTGCTCTTTCATCTGTTCATTACTCCCTGCCCCCCCATTTCTGTAATAAGGGCTTCTGATGCCATGGAGAAGCCCCTGCTTGCCTTGCACTGCCCACTCTGATACCCAGAATTCTAGAGAGAGGTCAAAGCAGCCTTGCCCTCCTATGTTTCCCCTGCTGGGTTAGCCATGCCACAGGCCTGCCATGTCTGATGTCTCACCTCACGCTGGATCTTGAGCCTCCTCCATCCTGATCCTCCCTTTCTGCCTCTCCTCACCACTGGTGTGGACAGGAGGCTGCCTGTGTGTCTCTTGAAAAGGGAAGTGGAAGGCAAAGAAGGAAAGCACCATTTATGGAGTGCTTCCAGTGTCCCCACCAGTGTGCTCGGTGTTTCACACCCCTTCGGAGCCCTCCTGCAATGGGAGACCTAAAGACACTCCCTCTGAGGACTGGTTAAGCTGGTGGTCTTCCAGCACTGGGCAGGCAGGTTGGAAGCTAATGGTAGGCAGGGAAACCTGCCTTCTTTGTTCTGCCTTCCTTTGCTCTGACCACTGGGCTTCCCTGTGCCAGGCTTAGGGCATCTATGGAGCCAGGCTGTGCATAAGCTGCCTGCCCTCACTGGTGACTTCTGGCAGTGCCAGCAATGGGGAATTCACCCTGAGGGAGCCTATCCCCAGCCATGAGCTGGTTGTTCCACACCAAAACTACTCAGGGAGAGTGACCCCCTAGTAGTGACCCCATGTAGACCCTGGGTTCCTTTCCATCATTTAAGCTCTGCCCAATGCAAGGTGGTAGGCTATGAACCTAGAATCAAAGACTGCCATCTGCCAGACCTGCTTGCAGTCCTCCTTGGCAGGTTTTAGATGTGGGGAATGACTTGAGCCAGAATCTCCTCCCTGAATTATGGGGCACTGTAGCAGATCAGGGCTCTCTGCCTGTCCCAGTGCCCAATATGTGCCTCTCCAAGACCTCAGCCATGTTGTGCCCGTGGTCAGGGAAGGACCTACTCTGCCCCTGTTTCCTATGACCCGCAGGAGTCTAGCTTCTGTGGGACTCCCACCTACTAACCCTTTAACTCTTCTGCACTTGCCTTGACTTGAGTAGGGGGAGAGGGTTTTGGGGGGAAGGGGCCAGAGACCCTATTTCCTTTTCTCCCACCTTCAGGTCTCAAGACGACTCTGGGCAGCCGGCCTGCTCCCCTACCGCTGACTGAATCATTTCTATATTTGGCCAGTGAGCCACGTGGGTGGGGAACCACTGCGGCTGCACTTCTGACAGCTGTGGGGGGCGGGGGCAGGGGCTGCAGGCGGCAGAGGCTGGGCAGTAGGCATGTGCATTCTTTGGGAGAACTAAAGGCGCCATCAGAGTGAGTAAAGCCCTGAGAAAGGGCATGCGCCAACACCTCCCTCTCCTCCCTCTTCTCCTGCACGTTCTAGTTTCAGGGTCTGCCTTCTCTGCYCCACCCCTTCCCCTGGATGCCCTTCTCCCTTCAGCTAGTCCTCACAGCAGTCTCTTCTCCCACAGACCACACCGCCCTCCAGAAACCATGGGCGTCTCTAGACCCAGCTGCGACTCTGCCAGACTCTGGTGCTCGGTTTAAGATAAGGATAATCTCCCAGGCCTGCTCTCCCTGCCTGTCATGGCCACACTCCGATGCTGCCCACTTGTCTGGGGACACAGGGCACCCAGCCCTAGCCCTGAGATGTTAAGCCAGGCCTTCTGGCTCCAGTCTACAGGGGCACTGCAGGCCCCGGGCTCCCTTCAGAGCAAGAGCAACTGATGCCATGGGAGAAGCCCCTGCCTACCCATCCACTTGCCTGGCCCTGCCTGCTCTGATACCCATGCATTGGGTCCTCCTGCAGGTGCCAATCCTGTGAGTCCCTCCCCAACCCCCTGACACTGAGAAGGCCCTGCCCACCCCCACCATGTGTGAGGTGATGCCCACAATCAATGAGGGGGACCCCCTAGGGCCCCCCCACGGCGCCGATGCTGACGCCAACTTTGAGCAGCTTATGGTGAACATGCTGGATGAGCGGGAGAAGTTGCTGGAGTCCCTTCGGGAGAGTCAGGAAACCTTGGCAGCCACGCAGAGCCGGCTCCAGGATGCCCTGCATGAGCGGGACCAGCTCCAGCGACACCTCAACTCTGCCCTCCCTCAGGTAAGGCCTAAAGCTCTGCGCCTCCCTCAGTCCCTCCCTCTGCCCCTCCTCCAGCCCTGTGGAGTCCAGCACCCCTTGGGCCCTCAGCAAAACTGTATCTACCTGCATATCAAATAGTGGAATTTACAGAACATTTACTCTCCATCTTGCCACGGAAATCCTTTCCCTGTCACTCCCAAGTGTCTCAGCCTGGAGTTGGCTTCACCTGGAGAAATGGGTGGACTTTGATTCAGGGAGAAAACCCAGCCCTAGTTGCCAACTGCAGTGAGCCCAGTCTGCCAGTAGATGGCACCCTAGGCTGGAAAGAAAGAGCCCTGACTGCTTCTCACCAGAGGCCTATTCTTGGAGGTGGAGGGAGAGGGGGAGGGGGAATCACAGAAGTGGAGGTGGGAGCAGCTTTAGAGCTCATCGAGTCCAGCTCCACTATTGCACAGACATCACATGGGCAATTATAGACAGAGCTGAGTACCTTAACATCCCGTTTCATGTACCTCACCAGCATTGCTACTAGCTCTAATGTAGTCACCCTTTACAGTGTATTTTCTAAGGACTGAGCCTTCTGGAGGGTTTATCTCACTAGATTTTTCAGAATGATGAAGTTGGTACTGTTATTACCAGCATCCTACTTCACAAGTGATGGAGTTTAGGGAAATGAACCCCCTGCTCATGGCCATGCAGGAGTTGACCCCTGAAAAGCTGTGTGTTTCCAGGGGCTGTGTCTCAGCCACCACCACATTTCCACTTCAGATCATTGACCCAGAAGCTCTGTGTTGCTTCCTGCTCATCCATCATTTCGTAGATATTCCAGGACAAATGCGTGCTATGGGAATGGCAAAGGGAGCAGGAACTGAGTTATCCTGCTGCTTGTCAGAGAAGGTGTGAACCCTGCCTGGTAACCAGGCCCCAGGTGGGGTGGGGCAAGCACAGTGCTCACAGTGACTGCTTATACGTCCTGCTCTCCACCTCCTCTTAGGAGACAGATGGGTATGGAAACCAGGCACTAGATTCATTGCATAGCGTGCCTGGGGCAGGTGCGTGCCCTGCAGGGGCTGAGGGAGGCAGCCTGAGTTGCCGAACACCTCAAGCCTCAGAGACAGGTCCTTTTCCCAGTGTAAGGAGAAGAACCAGGTCTGGGCCTGGGTGGGTGAGTTTTCGGCTCAGGGCTCAAAAGTGACAGGAGGCTGAGTCTTGGATGCTTTCTCAGTATGAATATTTAGCCCTGGTGAAGAGGTGGGATGGGCGGGTGGCCCCTCCTACCTCACTTTGCAGGAGGCCCTGAGCATGCCCTGCAGTGAATGAGCCAGTTCCTGCTCCCAAGGAGCTCAGAGATGAGAAAGGAGACATAAGAACCCAAAAGACTAGGAGAGAAGGTAGAGAAAGGTAAGAGAGGCCTGAAGGGATTGTTAAACACAGCATCAGTGATAAAAATAGCTGCCTTTGTGGGCTTATGCTRGGTACTCTCTGTATATTGGGTTCATTTAATCCTCCTATGTAATTCCTGGAGAGACTGTTTACCTCTGCCTTTACAGATCAGAGAATGGGTTCAGAGAGGTTAGGTAATTTGTCCAAGGTCACATAGCTAACCAGAGCAGAGCTGAGATTTGACCCCAGGCCTGCCTGACTTCCTCTACTGGAAACTTCATGAGGGTAGAGGTTGTATCTTTCTTGTCACTGTGTCCCCTGTGACCGGCACAGGACCTGGTATTCACATATATTTGTGGTTGGATGGTRGACTCCCCAGCTAGTGCTCTTGATGTTTGTTCAGAAATGTTTTCAAGGGATAGAGGGAGACTTCCACTGGACAGCCTAGACGGTTCCCAGGAGGCTGGAGCCTTTGAGATGGGCTTTGAAAGAGGAATTTTCCCATCAGGTGGTAACAGAGGCTTGTGCTCTGCAGTGAGAGGGGGACTGCTGAGCTAAGGTTGGCATTAGAAAGGCTTGCTGGGGTTTGGAAACAGCAAGTAACCCAGGTTGACCAGGTCTTAGGGTGAATGCAAAGGAACCGTGAGAGAAAAGTTTGAAAACCACTGTAAGCTTGCATTTAACTCTGTGGACAGCATTGTGCTTTTGGAATAATCCTGGTAGCAGTCTGTCAGATGGGTGAGTTGAGGAGGGAGGGGAAAGATGTCCTAGGATGGGGACACCAGGTAGTGATAAGCCTAAAGCCAGGGAAGGGAGAGCTTCACAGCCCTTTGGTGGTGGTGTCATAGTATAGGGCTGGGGGCATGCCATTAAGTCCTGTCTCTGTGTCCAAGACTGTGTGTATGTGCATATGTGTGTGAGTGTGTGTGTGTGTGCATGAAGGTATGACCGTGTGCATGCATGTGTGTAAACTGAGGGGTGAAACAGCATCAGGCTCAGGTCTCAACTGCCAGAGGGTGGAATGCTTGACCTTGATTGTCTTTGGCCATATCCTTGATAGAAAAGCAGTAGTCAAGGAATAGAGTCAGAAGTCCTTGTTTTCTTGTGCTCTGGAAGGGATAGTCCCTTCTTCTTTCCTACAATCCTTTTGCCTGATCCGGAGTGATAGTGGGACTGCTTTGGGAATTCTTCGTTGGTCGGGAATTCTTGGTGTGCAAGGGAAGCTGCAATGCTGGGCGGGGCTGAAGCTTCTGTTCAGTTATTCTCAGACTTTGGAAGCCCTAGAGTTTGGGCCATTCATCTGAAAATCTTTCTGGAATGAGGTGATATTGATTAAATAGATAGGATATGATGGACCTGAAGCTGTGGGGCTGTTCTCTCACCTTAGATGCTCGTGCTGGTGGCAGAGGTGAGCTAGAAAGGTCATTGAAGTGTCTGGGCTTGACATTTATGGATGGGTCCCCCTCAAAGGAATATTTGRTATATGAGTATTCAGTGAAGCCAGGGCATGGGTCTTAGTATCAGGTGCTGGCATGAAACCCTGACCTGATTTGGCAGGGCTCCTGGGAAGCCAGGGCTGAAGCCGCATGGCCAGCTGTTTGGGCAAGTCCAAGTACCCTCCTGCTCCCATGTAGGTGGTTCCTTCAATCCACTTGTCTCACAGGCCACCAACAGCTTGCAAAGCCCTGGGGAGGGTATGGAAGGGAGCTCCCTGGGACTCAGTCAGACTTAAGCTTCAGAACATGCTTCTCTTCCCCCGTAACCTCCATCAGCTTCTGGTGAACCTCACTCGCTCAAACCAGTGGCAGCCTACCTCTCCATCAGTGTGTAAACGAAAAGGCCATTGAATTGCTGGAGAACCAGAAGACTGAGTAGGAGGGTCAGCAGAATCTGGTCACATTGACTGGCAGGGGAAGGGGCTGCAGAGCAGACTTGGTGGCTTTCCCATTTCTGTGTGCAGCTATTTCCTCAGCTCCTAACCCACACCTGGATTGCATGGAGCCCTCTGGGGAAGCTCACACCAGTTGCGGGGTTACTGCCCTGAAATGTGGGTGGATTGGGACTTTCTGGGGGGGGTAGGTGGAGGAAGGGATGGGTGAGAGGAGACCCCCATGGATCAGGTGTGAGGATGCTGCTTAGGGAGTGAATCCCCATGTACTAAGGAGTCTTGGGGGTCTTCAGGAATTTGCCACCTTGACCCGGGAGCTGAGCATGTGTCGGGAGCAGCTTCTAGAGAGGGAGGAAGAGATATCAGAGCTGAAAGCAGAACGGAATAACACAAGGGTAAGTGGAGATCACCGGGTGCGTGTCTGTGTGTGTGTGTGTGTACCTTGACCAAGGCAGGACCAGGGCCAGGTATAGCCCCACCCCATCCTGACCTTTGCCTGCTTCTCATCCTAGGGTCATAGCCAGAAAATTTAACCATCAGTACTAGGCTTTCCCCCTGCCGTTGCTGGGTCATAGAAACTCAGGGTCCTGGGGGAGAGGCCAGGACAACTGAGTTAAGGCTGGTATTTAATTGAAGAGCAGCTATTTACCAAAGTGGAAGAATGTTAGCATTTTAAGGATGGTATGGCTGTATTTGTGTCTACTTGGTGATCACGTGGGCCCTGCCTGTGGCCCCTGGAGCACATGCTCAGAGTCTTCCCTCCTGTCTTCCCCTGCTTCCTGCCAGCTGCTTTTAGAACATCTGGAGTGCCTGGTATCCCGCCATGAGCGGTCACTGCGGATGACGGTGGTGAAGCGCCAGGCCCAGTCACCTTCAGGGGTCTCCAGTGAGGTGGAGGTGCTAAAGGCCCTCAAGTCTCTGTTTGAGCACCACAAAGCCCTGGATGAGAAGGTATCCCTGCCCCTACTCTCTCCCTAATCCAACCAAGCTTCCCTTCTCTGAGATTTCTGCATTCAGTGTTTAGGGAAATCTAGCTTCAGAACTGGCTTCCTCCTACTGTGGGCCTCATTTCAAGTCCTATTAGGTTCCCTCCTAGGATTTTACCTCCTGTTGGGCCCTTTACTTTCCCTCATGCCTGGCGCTGGTAGACCAAGGCCAGGCTTCTTCAGCCTGGGTCCAGTGAGTCCCCCTTTCTTCCTCTATCTCCTCTTGTCTTGGGCAGGTTCGAGAAAGGCTCCGGGCAGCACTGGAGCGTGTTACCACCTTGGAGGAGCAGCTGGCAGGAGCCCACCAACAGGTAAGCTGCCCACTTTCAGTTTATAGTTGGCAGCTCCTGAAAGTCCAGCTGGCTGGCCCCTTAGCCCTACCCTGTTCCTCATGGAATTCTTCCTCACTGTGGCTGGAGTTGGTAGCCAAGGCTGGGCCAGGCACTTCTTTCCAGAAAGTGGAAACTTAGAAGGGTCTGGAACGTGTAGGAAGCACTCTTTGACGCACTGCTCTGGGCCTGTGCCCTACAGGTGTCTGCCCTGCAGCAGGGGGCAGTGGTGCGGGATGGAGTGGCAGAAGAGGAGGGGACTGTGGAGCTGGGACCGAAACGTCTGTGGAAGGTGGGTAATGGGGAGCAGTATAGCAGGGCCTGTGTTCCCCAAGACAGGAATGGGAGGCCCTGCCCGCTGACTTCAGTAGAGAAGCTGCTAAAATTAAATGCAGAGCTTTCTACAACATTCTCACTTCCCTCCTCCATCTTCAAAGAAATCTATCATCTATTTCTCTATCTGTCTGTTGGTGCTAGGTACATAATATGTTTGTCCACTGGAATTGTTAGGAGCCATCTGCCTGTATCAGTATCAGGCAAGATGCCTTCTATCTCTGAGCCTTTGTTCCTTAATTATGTTCCTTTCTGGGTTGAAGAGACTGAGATAACAGATAAAACTAGAAACTTTTGTTTTTCAAGAGATACACAGCAGAGCCAGGGTGTTTGGGTATTGTCAGGAGTGAGCTGCAGGGGCCCAGGGAAAGAAGGTGTACCTGGAGGTGTGCTCTGAGGTCAGGGCAGAGCTGTGGTCTGTCGTGGGTGTGTGGCCCCTCCTACCATTTCCCTGGGGCAGGGCAGGGTGTAGGATGCCCTAGGCCTCCATGATTGACTGACTGATGGCTCACTGTCCCTGGAGGATGACACGGGCCGGGTGGAGGAGCTGCAGGAGCTCCTGGAGAAGCAAAACTTTGAGTTGAGCCAGGCCCGGGAGCGACTGGTCACCTTGACAGCAACCGTAACAGAACTTGAGGAGGACCTGGGAACAGCCCGCCGGGACCTCATCAAGTCAGAGGAGCTGAGCAGCAAGCATCAACGGGACCTCCGAGAGGTGAGGAAGGGTCTTTCTTCAGTCACTTCATCCCACTGAGTACAGGGGTTTGGCATCTGGGAGAGTGTGGACAAAGGTCCAGGCAGGAGCCGGGAAGTATAAGATTGAACACTTGGCAGGTCTGGTGTGGGGAGGAGTAATGGGGGTTTTGGTTATGGCCAGGAGTTGACAGGGGAGATCATGTTTTCTGGGTTATACCCAGCTAGGTATTGTGGGAGGTGCAGAAAGGAGCAGGGAGCAAAAGTCTGGTGACCTTTCCCCTCTGCTGCCACCCAGGCTCTGGCTCAGAAAGAGGACATGGAAGAACGAATCACCACACTGGAGAAGCGCTACCTAGCTGCTCAGCGTGAGGCCACATCCATCCATGACCTCAATGACAAACTGGAGAATGAACTGGCCAACAAGGAGTCCCTGCACCGCCAGGTAACTCCTCCAGATGGGCCAGGGTGGGCATTGTACTTCACCCTTGAGGGTCTAATGATCCTACTCAAACTATCCCATGGTGGCCCAGGAGCCCCTGGGATCCTGAAGATTCTCTTGGGAAAGGGGAAGTCAGGCATCTTGGGCAGTCAGGAACCAACCCTTGCAACTTCTGACCTGTTACTTGCTCCCTGCTGTGGTGGGGTGGGGTGGGGGTGTTCAGTGCTACCCCTCTTGAATCGCTTCCCTGCCCACATTGCTAGTGTGAGGAGAAGGCCCGACACCTACAGGAGCTGTTGGAGGTGGCAGAGCAGAAACTGCAGCAGACAATGCGCAAGGCAGAGACGCTGCCAGAAGTGGAGGCTGAGCTGGCCCAGAGAATCGCAGCTCTCACCAAGGCAAGTGGGCTGAGCCTGGGATCTGCCTCTGTCCCCTATGTCCAGTGGAGCCAGCCGTTGTGGAATCAGGCAGGGAGTGGACAGAGTGGAGGGCACATGGGGTAGGGAGCCAGAGAACTGCTCACTGTGTGATGCTGGGAGTACACTACTTCATGTCTGTCAGTCTGAAGAGGAATTCCTGCCCTCTTCACCCCACAGAGATGTAATGGTCCCATAAGAAAGGGTAAAAATACTTGAAAGAGAAGAAACCACACTGTTGCAAAGTATATTTATTATCATGACACCATTGTGGTTGATACCTCTGTTTGTTTAGGACTAGAGAGGGAAGATTAGGATTTTCATCTCTGGAAAAATGAAACTAAGGGGAGATAGGATCAAAGTCTGTATATCCCTGAAGGGGATGCAGGGTTGCACACATCTTTCTTTACCAAATTAAAGCATTCTAGATCTAGAAACAACCCTGTTAGCCTAAAACTTTAAGATGAATAAAAGACAATATAATTTACCTAGTGGAGAGGTAATTTTATGGCGTAGTAATTCCTAAGAGGTTTATAGGCAGATATCAACTAGGTCTGGAAGAGTTAAATAAATGCATGGCCTTAGATGTCTGATGAGTAATTACATATTAGGAGTCTTTTTAGCTGGTTGGAGGCTTTTGGGGGCCTCATGGGGTATAACCATAGCTACCCCCAAACTCAGGGATAGAAGAAACCAGTTTTTAGCAAGCACCCAGCCCCAGAACCTTTGAAGGATAAGATGCTGTCCAGTGTGCCAGTATGGCATCTCAAGTGCTCTGGAGCTGGAATTCACAGCATCAGTAGGCCCAGGACCAAGTCTGCTTCTGCCACTGACTGGCTTTCTGATTTGGGAAAAGTCACACCCCTCCATAACTGGGCCTCAGTGTTCTTACCTCTATGGTGGTGCTGTTGGCCTTGGTGATCTGTAGAGTCTTTCCAGCCCCTAGGAATGGAGGGTTAGGTTTAAGTTACAGCAGAGGATGTTATGTGTGGGATGCTGAGCAAAAACTGACAAAAAGGGATGGGCTGAAGTGATTAATATGTTCAAGTGAGTCATAGCAGGAGGAGTTAACAGGAGGAGTTAAAGGAAGGCTTTCCTGACTGTAAGATGCGTGGTATTCTGGAAAATCTTGTCAGCAGAAACAATAGGGTCTCCATCTCTGGAGATACTTGACAAGAAGGGAGAACACTCTACCTGGGCTGGTTTAATAATAAAGGTAATAATCATGATGAGGCTAGTATGTTCTAAATGTTTACTGGAGCATTTAATTTAGCCCTTGAAATGGGCCAGTGGGCATAGGTGCTGCTAGTCAAATTTTATGGTTGAGAAAACCAGGCACTTAGAAAGTTCAAGGTCACGTTATTGGTGAAAGATTTGAACCCAGGCTACCTGGCCCGAGCCTGTGTTCTCAAGTACAATTCCATTCTATCTGGAAGCACAGAGATGTATGGTAGCTCATGCTTTCAAATGGAGTTTTTTGGGTTTTTTTTTCTGGAAACATGGGGAGGATTTACCAGCTTTGAGCCAGGGACCTTCTCCTAGCCAGCTCCCCAGTTCTGGCTAAGGCCAGAGCCTTCCCCAACCAGTTCGGACCAACCCTCCAGGCCTGCTTTCCCAGCACACCTTTCCAGCCTTCCCTCCTAGCTTTCCCCAGCTTCTGTCAAGGTAGCACTCAAGCAGCCCGGTCCCTGACTAGCTCCTCACATCCCAAAGCCTCGCCCTCCAGGCCGGCCCCGCCCCTGCTCTCCACTCCACGACCCTTGAGTTGCCAGCTCTTGATGTAGCTCTGAGCAGGAACCCAAGAAGGACCTGGCAGGGGTCGAGTTTCTGGGGGAAGAAAGGTAGTGCTGATGGTGATTTGCACCAACTTGATAGGTGGAGGGCTGGGTTTCCTTGGCACCTGAGGCCCTGATCACTCAAGACTGCCCTAGCACCAGGATCCACGGGATATGGGGCCTGAGCAGGAGGAACAGAGATCTCCAGGATGCACTGACCTATCCCCGCCCCTAGGCTGAAGAACGGCATGGCAACATTGAGGAGCACCTGCGGCAGCTGGAAGGGCAGCTGGAGGAGAAGAACCAGGAGTTGGCAAGGGTGAGGGCATGAGGTTGGGCTCTTGGGTGACCTCCCTGCCCTCGGGGCAGGCTCATAGGTACTGTTAGCAGAGGGGCACCAGGGAAGGACCTGGCCAAGGGAGAGAGCCCACAGGGTGAGAGGAGCCCACAGCTAGGGGAGGAGGTGGTTGAGAGAGCTGGAGAGAGGATCCCTGGGAGGATGGAAGACTGGGGACAAGAAGGGGACAGGTAAAGCAGGCAGGTAGAACCCCAGGGAAAATGGGTGGTTCTCGAGGAGGGCGGCGTCGACCAGGCCCTGAGGTGGCCTTGTGCAAGGCGGCCCGGCTGTGCAGGTGCGACAGCGGGAGAAGATGAACGAGGACCACAACAAGCGGCTGTCAGACACCGTGGACAGGCTGCTTAGCGAGTCCAACGAGCGCCTGCAGCTCCATCTCAAGGAGCGCATGGCCGCCCTGGAGGAGAAGGTGCAGGGGCTAGGGGGCGGGGCGGGGCGGGGTTACTCGAGGGGCGTGTCGAGTCGAGAGCAGGGGCGGGGCCTGCCTGGGGGCGGGGCTTTGGGATTTGAGGAACTAGTCAGGGGCGGGGCTGGGACGGGTGAGTGCCCCGTTGACAGAAGCTGGCGAAGCTAGAAGCTTTTCCCGCTGGGGAGGGCGGGCTGGGTAGGTGTGCTGGGAAAGCAGGCCTGGAAGGTTGGTCTGAGCTGGCCTGGGAAGGCTCTGGCCTTAGCCGGAATAAGGGAGCTGGCTAGGCGAAGGTCCCTGGCTCACAGCTGTTTTCCCCTAGAACACGCTGATCCAGGAGTTGGAGAGCTCCCAGCGTCAGATTGAGGAGCAGCATCACCACAAGGTACCCAGCTGCGGGGCCAGCCCACCCAGCCTGGAGGGCCTGGATCGCTGGGAGGAAAGGACATGCCTGTTTTTCATGCAGCTGCTCTGATAACCCAGTATTGTGTTAGCTTCTGTTAGTTCATGTGCATTACATTATATCATCACTCTTCACCACCGCCCAACCCAGTAGATACACCACTACCCACAGTGAAAGAGAAACAGGCTATAAGCCTAGGGTATAGGATGGACAGCAGATTCAGGGCCCAATGAATGGCTTAACCAAAAGATTGGGTGGGGGCCTCAAACCCTGGTGAGGTAAGAGTCAGGTGACTCTGGGAAGATTGGCTGTTGTCCCTTCCTCAGCTATGTGTGGAAGGACACGTGGGTTCTTTGCTGCTCTGCCTGGTTTGCCACACTTTTGTGTGGTGTTAAGAGGTCAGCTGGCTTATTCCAGGAGAGCCCTTCCCTAGACAACCCTCCCCTGCCTGGCCCCTCTGCCACCTTCTGCTCACTTTCCAGTTGTTCCTCTTCTCTTGGCCCCTGGCCTGGGGCCCCTGACTTTGAACTTTGCAGAGTATTCTTCTGCTTTCCCCAAACTCTGCTGTCCTTTTTGTCCCTCTCTGACTCCCACTCTCCCTCTCTGCTCCTCCCTGGCCCCACCCCACCCTGGGTCTGCCTGGCACAGGGCCGCCTGTCTGAAGAGATTGAGAAGCTTCGCCAAGAGGTGGACCAGCTGAAGGGTCGAGGGGGGCCATTTGTGGATGGCATCCACTCCAGGTACTGGAGCGTGGGATATGGGGCGTGCTGGGATGGGGTCCTGCTTGGACCCTGGGGAAGGAGACCTTCCCCCATCAAAAGACCACCCAGGACCTCAGGGTCCTCCTCATATTCAGGGTGGGACTCTGAAGCTCAGAGAAGTTGGTTAGAGTCAATTTATCACTTGGGCATTTAGAAGGGGAGCACTTGTCCTCTGAGGGGTGCAGAACAAGGATCAGATGATACTCCTTTCCTACTGTCTTGGAACATGGGTCACAGGATACTTCCTACGTCCTCAACAGAGAGTATGCCTTGGGAGGTGTCTGCCTGAGTTCTGTGCTCTCCCATGTTGCACAAGGTCCTCTGATAGTGGTGACCTTGAGACACCACCTTTAGGATTGCTGTTTGAGAGTTGAGAGTCACCTGAGTTCAGGTAGGAGGCAGTGAGCAGAAAGGCATTTGGAGGGAACGGAAGTGAGGCAACAAAAACATCCTTCCTGTTGAAAGCTGAGGTTCCCTGTTACTCATGGTTGTGGCATGTAAGAGGTGGAGGTGGAGCTTTTGCCTCTGGATTTTTCTCCACATTTTATGAAGCACTTGGCGTTGAACTCAGACCACAAACATGTCCTCAATTCTCAGCCCAGAGAAGATCGAGGAGAGTAAAGTAAAAGAGGGCCCTCAAGGCCAATGGCTCCCTTCTGTCCATGTTCTTGTCATATCAGAGATCAGCTACTATGAGGAAGTGTTATGGGGTATATATGTATGTTGGGGGGCAGTGCTTGAATTAGGGAAGAATGTTGAGCTTTAGAGAAGAGGCCTGTGGGAACCCCAGGGTGGTGGATACTCAAGTACCAACTTCAAGTTCATTGGGAATTACTGTATGAAGAGAAGCAAGGAACCAAGAAATATAATGGTAGCTGAGATTCTCCCTGTGGATTGGCTAAAAGGAACAGCCCTTCAATTAATAAGATTTGGCCCCAGCATACACCAAACCATTTGCCACTGCTACTTTTCCTTCCTAGCTGGGGGTTTTTGGCTTTGACTTAGAATATCTGGACCTATCACAGAATTGGGGCTGAGTTGCTGAGAGAAGAGGGAGCTAGGCTGCTCCCCTCTCAATTCAGCTATACAATCTCCTGGCCCCTTTGCAATGCTTTCTCTCAAGGGTCCCAAACTGGGAGGTATTAGGAAGAGGCATCACAGGGAGGCTTCTTGACACTCCTGAGATTGTCACTGGGACCCTAAAATCTCAGGTTTGGCTAGACCTTTGGAGCAGTTAAAGTGGTATCTCTAGATACAGCCAGGGCCACCCAAAGCTTCCTAGGGATAGGGTCGGGGGGTGACTGTGTTAAATTTTAGCCAGGGACTCAGTCCAGATTATTGGGAAGCCTGAGAAAAGTTGCTAGGGAAAAGACCACAAAACAAAGACCGTCAGAGTTAAAGGACGTCAGAGATCACCTTCCCAGTGCCCAGTGCCCCAAGCCTTGTACCGTTCTTAACAGAAAGCCAGAGAACCCACACTTGAAAACATCTCTGATGGGGAGCTGGACTTTTTAAAAGCATTGTAAGCCAACTCTTGCCATAAGAAGGTTTTTCTTAGGCTAAATGGAAAGCCATTCCCTAGAATTTTCTTCCCTGGGTCATCCTGACCCCTGGAGCACCAGAGAATAATTCTCATCTTGGGCTCATATGGTAGCCCTTCAGACATTTCTGATAGCTGTGTGTCCTGTTAAGACTTCTCCAAGGTGAAGATCCCTGACTCTTTGAGCCCAGTGTGTGCAGGCTGGGGCTCTCAGTCCTCAGGACCTGTCATTTCTCTCCTTTCTACCACTCAAGGTCACACATGGGCAGCGCAGCKGACGTGCGGTTCTCCCTGAGTACAACCACCCACGCACCCCCAGGTCTGCATCGCCGCTACTCAGCACTGAGGGAAGATTCGGCTAAGGTGAGGGGGTGGCAGGGTGAGTGTGTGTGTGGGTCTCCCTGGGGAGTTTGGGGTCAGTTCGGCCGTGTGCCTGGCTCCAGTTACACGGACGGCTGGCGTGTGGTGCAAATCCTCTCCCCTGCCCTCCCCCATTTCAGTGACAGCTGCAGCCCCAGGGTTGGGGCCATTGTCAGCTGCAACAGCTGTGACCCCCCTTGCCTTGGCCTCCTGGTGGGCAAGAGGTAGGGGCTGGAAGGCGGCCAGCCAGTCCCTGAGGCCCCACTGAGGCATGTGTGCGTGTGCCTGGGTGTGCAGGCGTGTGTTTCTGGTGGCCGGAGGCAGGGGGGCTGCAGAGGGAAGGTGGAATTGGCTGGCTTCCTGAGACAAAAGCTGTGGTTACAGGGGAGATGAGGGAGGGATGATAGGTCTCCTGGCTCTGGGCTTGGCACCTGGAGCTTTCTGAGAAGCAGCTATGGGTTCTTGCTCTCTGAGTTGGCCTGGGGAGAAGGGGGGATGAGGAAAGAGGAGGGGCAGGAGGGCTGCCTTCCTTCTTTCAGGGAAGTCTGATTGCTGCCTGGTCCTCAGTTGTCAGTCATATTCTCTTGTGAGCCCAGGTCCCCCAATCTCTGGGGCCTTAGAAGTTATAGATGGAGGAAGAGGGAACTCCTGGTCTGTGGAGAGGGCATGTCCCTGCCCTTAGGGCCCTAGTCTGATGGCAGTGTGAGGGCACCTCTGTGTCTCACCCCTTTACTCTTCTAAGAACACAGCAGCTGCCCAGGGGCTCAGGATGAAGGCAGCAGGGGCTTGAACAAGAGTCCTCAAGGGGAGTTTGGGGACTTGGGTCCTAGAGACTGTGTGTTAGAGCTCCTCTGGCACCCCTCCTTGTCTCCCCGGCTTTTCTGGCTCTCCCAGTCCACTCCTGTGCTCTCCTCCTCTTCTGGGCCTTTGTCTGTTGAAGAGGTTTGTAGATGATTTTTGAAAAGCCATCACCTCTGAAGGTTGTTCAGAGGGTCCTGTGATATGTCGAAATTATAAGAACACAAGACCTTATCTTAATCCCTGAATTAGTCACCATTTGCAAGTTTGTATGAATAGAAACTAGTAACCTTTATATAGTGCCTATTTTGTGCCAGACCTGATTTTCTCATTTTAAGCCTCACAACTACCTTTGAGTTAGGTCCTGTTACTGTCCTGTTTTATAAATGAAAACCTGAGGCAGAGAGAGATTACACAACTTTCCCATGGTTGCACAGCTAATATTTGGTAGAGTCAAGATTCTAAGCAAGAGCTGGGTACAGTGGCGCAAGCCTGTAATCCCAGTGGCTCAGGAGGCAGAGGCAGGAGGATCATGCATTCAAAGCCCATCTCAACAACTTCAGGGTGCTCAGAAACTCAGTGAGACCCTGACTTTAAATAAAATATAAAGGGCTGGGGATGTGGCTCAAGCGGTAGCGCGCTCGCCTGGCATGCGTGCGGCCCGGGTTCGATCCTCAGCACCACATACCAACAAAGATGTTGTGTCTGCCGAGAACTAAAAAATAAATATTAAAAATTCTCTCTCTCTCTCTCTCTCTCTCTCTCCCCCCCTTCTCTCACTCTCTCTTTAAAAAATAAATAAATAAATAAATAAATAAATAAAATATAAAAAATAGGGCTGGGGATGTGGCTCAGTGGTTGAGTACCCCTGAGTTCAATCCCCAGTACCCCCCCCCCAAAAAAAAAAGATTCAAAGCAAGGCCACTTTTTTGGGATTCATCTCTAAATCACTCTGTTAGCTAGCTCCTTGAGTTAGAGCAGAATCTCCTAGACTTTCATATGCAAACAAATAATCTGGGAATCTTGTTAAAATGCAGATTTTGAATCAGTAAGTCTGGCAATGGGGCCTGAGATTCTGCATTTCTAACAAGCTCCCAGGAGAGGTCAGTGCTGCCCATTGGCAGTGGGGCGGGTCCTGCTCCTCAGCCCTCTGGGGTGCCATTACTACTTCTTTATCTTTTTCCTTTGCAAAGGACTGGGAGCCATCTCCACTGCCTGGATTGTTGGCCTCCACAGCCACTCCTGCTTTTGACAGTGACCCTGAGATCTCTGATGTGGATGAAGATGAGCCAGGGGGTTTAGTGGGCTCCGTTGATGTTGTCTCCCCTGGCGGCCATTCAGATGCCCAGACCCTGGCCATGATGCTGCAGGAGCAGCTGGATGCCATCAACGAGGAGATCAGGTTGGGGCAGGGGCGGAGGGCCTGGGAAGTGCCTTGAAGGACAGAGGGCCCATTTCTTAGTGTTTGGCAATGCCAGAAAAAGTTCACGTCTTACAACTGCACCTTAGTACCACAGTCTAGGGACCTTCTCTGGGACATCAGATAAGGTTCTAGTCCAGTATTTCCCCAAAAGGGAAGCTGATTCTCAGGCTTCATCCAATGACGTGACTGGGTGTGGGAGCATGGAGCTGTAGTCCTGGTATTCTTCCTGATCTCTAAGAGTATAGCTTCCACGGCTGAAGCCATCTCAGGGTGACAGCTTTGTGAATGTTACTGTCAGTCTTACTCTAGTAAGTCCTACCCTGAGGTAGGTAGCATGATCTCTGTTTTATAGATAAGGGAACAGAAATTCAGAGGTTACGTGACTTTCCCAAAGCCATGTAGTAAGTGGCAGAACCAAGATTCAAACTGAAGTTGAATCTCAGTCCACTGGGCCTTGCCTTCTGTCCCTAGGAGGCATCACACAGGATCCAGTAGCAGGGAAAGTTGTCAAGACAGACCTTCCCTTGATCCCGCTTTTTAGTGAGTTTATTAATGTTAAGACAAACTGCCAGGAAAAATCTGAGCTGAGCATGCAGCTCTCCAGGCTGCTGAGGTCATGTAGTTCAGTGACTTCCAGCCTTGGATTTCACAGTTACAAAGAAGATACTGGCCTCTCCCGCTACAGCAATAGGGAATTGCCATCATTTTGCTTTGCAAAGTAAATCATTAAAGAAAAATAACCACCATTGACCATCAAAGCCATTCTGAAAAAACAAAAGGACATTTTAACATCTAGAGTGGGAAAGATGTACTTTCAGAATAAAGACACATCCTTCTCCTTAAAGGACAGTTGGCACCTCTACTCCAGTGGGTGTGTGCACATGTTCCTTACTGAGAGTATCTTCCATGTACACAAATGAACCATTATCATTATTTTTCTATGGAACAGGGAAAATCCATTGGGGAACAGAATCAATAAGGCATCATCTAAAAGTCCTGCATCTGGGAACTACTGAGACCCACTCCAGATATTGTATATGTTGGGAAACTGAGGCATTTAGAGCGAAGAGTGTGGCCTGAGGTCACCTCTGTTGTTAGTAGTAGGTTAAGAATTTGGACTTTGCTGGGTGCAGTGATGCATGTCTGTAAATCCCAGTGGCTTGGGAGGCTGAGACAGGAGGATCACAAGTTCAAAGCCAGCCTCAGTCACTTAGTAAGCTCTAGGTTGTTTAGCAAGACCCTGTCTCAAAACAAAAAATAAAAAGGTTTGGGGATGTCAGTGGTTAAGCACCCTAGGTTCAATACCCAGAACCAAAAAAAAAAAAAAAAAAAAAATAGATGGACTTGTGTTTCATGGACTAAATTGCCTCCCTCCTCTGCAACTACTTTTGTTCAACTGAGGACACAGGCCAACTAACAAGAGAGGGAAATGTTTCTGAGCTCCAGACCTTATATATCCTAACAATGCCAGAAACAATAGGGCGCCCTTAGGCATTGCTGAGTTGTTTGGACCTGGGGTGGTGAGTGTGGGCAGTGCCTGGCATCACCTCCTGCTGCTTCTCACTGGGGCTCTTGGCCAGATCCCCTTTTTGTCTGCCTTCCAGGATGATCCAGGAAGAGAAGGAGTCCACGGAGCTCCGTGCGGAGGAGATCGAGACGCGTGTGACCAGCGGCAGTATGGAGGCCTTAAACTTGACACAGCTGCGCAAGCGTGGTTCTATCCCCACCTCTCTGACTGCCTTGTCCCTGGCCAGTGCATCCCCTCCACTCAGTGGCCGTTCCACGCCGAAGCTCACCTCCCGCAGTGCTGCCCAGGACCTGGACCGGATGGGGGTCATGACCCTGGTGAGTTCTTTGGGCAGACAATAAACAACTCTGCCCTCCCGTGGCTCTCCCTTGGGAGAGTTTATAAGGAATGGCAAGCTCCTTCCTGGTTATGGGCACGGCATCTTCTTCCCATGGTGTGTGCATGCCCTGTGTGATAAGCCACCAACATGTCCTTCTGGGTTAGGGAAGGGCTTTTGTAATATTTTTCTTACCTTCTCCCTTGGATAAGCACAGAATGCTTAAGAATCTCACCAGCTGCCCACACCGCTTCTTTCTTCCAGAGATGGTCTGGACTTTTTTTGGTACCAGGAATTGAACCCAGGGGTGCTTAACCACTAAACCACATCCCCAGTCCTTTTTATTTTTTATTTAGAGACAAGGACTTGCCGAGTTGCTTAGGGCCTCGCAAAATGGCTGAGGCTGGCTTTGAACTCATGATCTTCCTGCCTCAGCCTCCTGAGCCCCTGGGATTATAGGGGTGTGCCACCGCGCCCAGCTTAACTTCTTTTTCCAGGCCAGCTTTTTCTGCTGTGCTATTCTATCCAGGCCTGTGTGAGGCACTGAGTCCTATGTTCTCATCCTAGGACCCTTGGGTGCCCCTTGGGTGGGCTTTAGGGCAGCCAGGGTGAGCCCAAGCTTACCTTCACTTTTTCTTCCAGCCTAGTGACTTAAGAAAGCATCGGAGGAAGTTGCTGGTGAGTGCTGCCCAATGACCCAGGTACTACTGGGTTAACTGGTCCCAGGCCCTTCCCTTTTGGCTTCTCCCCCAGGGCCCTGGGGTCTGAATTTGAACTTGAGGGGCTGCAGGGCCCCCCTACTGCGTTTTTCTTCAGTTTCTCTGCCTCTCGGTTTCTCTGTGCTCCTCTGCCTCGTCCGGGCTGGGTAGGCAGGCCCCAGATCTCTCCCTCTATCCCCTGACGGCTCCACTGTCTGTTCAGTCGCCAGTGTCTCGGGAAGAGAACCGAGAGGATAAAGCCACCATAAAATGTGAGACTTCTCCTCCTTCCTCACCCAGGACGCTGCGGCTAGAGAAGCTTGGCCACCCAGCCCTGAGCCAGGAAGAAGGCAAGAGGTAAGTGAAGCAGGCCCTACTTCTAGGCTCTCTGTTCCCAAGATCATCTCATCCCTCCCTCTGTCTGTGAAGGGACTTCATCTCACCTGTTATAGGTGCTTGACTGTCTTCTCTTTGAAATATCACCAGGAAAGATGTTCCTATGTCTCCCTTGGTCACCTGTGCTGAGCATATCCCATTGCCCCCACCCCAACATTGACACTTAAGTTCTTCCTGAGGTCTAACTCTCATCTCTCGCTGTAATTTAAGTATGTTTCTTCTTATTCCACCCCCTCCTGGCTGTCATCCTGTAGTGCCTTGGAGGATCAGGGCAGCAACCCCAGCAGCAGCAACAGCAGCCAGGACTCCTTGCACAAGGGTGCCAAGCGCAAGGGCATCAAGTCGTCCATTGGCCGCCTGTTTGGGAAGAAGGAGAAGGGCAGGCTGATCCAGCTGAGTCGGGATGGAGCCACAGGCCATGGTCTCTGCCCCCTTTGTAGCAGAGGGCTGGGTGGGTGTCGGGGAGTTCAGGAGCAGGAAGGCGTGCGGGCATGCGGTCTTCTCTGCCTCCAAGGACCAGTGGGCGGAAGCCGCAGGCAGGCAGATTTCAGCTCCAGAGAAAGTGCACTTTTCTGTGAGCTGTTTCACGCTGGGATGGATTGCCTCGTGGGGGTGAGCTCCTGTGCCCAAAAGTGTCAGGCATCTGTGTCCAACTTGGATTTCCGTACCCAGCGAAAGACCATGCTTTCTTCCAACTTGGAGGTTTGGTGACGCGCTGTTGAGGATTTTAGGAGGAAGCTCTTAGGTCTTTCTTCAGAGGAGTCTGTTCTTGATTAGCACTTATTTCTGGTACATGCAGGACTCAGAATATGAAGACACCTAATTATGGCTTTGTAGACATTGAGTTCAAGAAAGTGCTTGGGCAAGGGTGCACTTTTGTCACCACTGTGGTGACCTAAAGCTCAAGTTCATACTTGGTTCATAGTACCAAGCATGGTAGGTACACAGTAAGTGTCTTTCCTCCCCTGCCCCCATTCTTTTTTTCCCTCCCTTCCCCCCCTCCTCCTTTTCTTTCCATCATCTATTCAGTCATTTGTTCAAACATTTGAGAACTCTTTTTGTTTTTTTGTACCAGGATTGAATCCAGGGGTGCTTAGCCACTGAGGCACATTCCCAGCCCTTTTTATATTTTATTTAGAGACAGGATCTCGCTGAGTTGCTTAGGGCCTCACTAAGTTGCTGAGGCTGTCTTGGAACTCATGATCCTCCTGCCTCAGCCTCCCAAGCTGCTGGGATTACAGGTGTGCGCCATTGTGCCTGGCTTGTTGAAAACTCTTGTATGGCATAGTACAGGGGGTTGGAGCCATAGCTCATTCCTATAGAATGGAATGTCTGATGAAAAGGAAAGAAATAACAAGATGATTCCAAACCCCGGTATGATGGTGGAGCTCGAAGCTAGTTGTGGAGTGGGGGACAGCAGGAATGGCTTCCTCTGCTCCACAGTCCTGAGCTGAAGCTAGAAGGCTCACAAGAATCAGCCAACTGCAGAAGAGGTGTGTGCACACAGCACAGGGGGGCATTGTGAGGAGAGGAGGCTGTGTGGGTGAGAGAGTTCTGTACCCCCTAATGTATGCCCAGCGTGGAGGAGGAGGGCAGGAAGGAGAGGATGGACAGCCATTGGGCCACCTCTTGGGCCTGTTGAAGCAGGTGAGATGTTCCCTGGAGCCACATGAAATTGATGCATGTCATGCAGGGGAGGAACTTAATCAGCTAGAAGAAAGGCACCTTTGAACCCAAATGCATAATTAGACCTTCCCGCACCTCAGGAAGGTGTGAATCAGAACACAGCTGGCTGAGTGAGGAGGCGGAGGTGGAGGATGGGGAAGCTGGTACTTCTGTTCAGGATGTGGGGATGAGGTAGAGCACTCTCCTCCCCAGCCCGGGTGAGGGGAGCCGTGGCGCCTCAGGGAAGCAGGAAGGTCTGATAAGTGGCAGAGGTGTTTGTGYAAAAAAAATTTATGATTTCCTGTTCCCCATACTGTGTTGGCACCTAAACCCAAGATAGCAACTCAGATTGGTTTCTGGATGACCTATACCTGCTGCCCCTGTGTACTATGGGGTGACCAGGACGTCGGTGAATTGTAAGATAAATATTGTAGCAGGAAGCCATAAATACCGTAGCAGGAATTCAGGAGGTCCTCAGTAGGTGACACAGCAGGGTGTGTTCCCCTCTGTAGCTTGTGTAAGCCAGTGCGTGCAGAGAAAGAGGCTGGGAGACAGAGCTCTCTGGGCCCATTTCCCTACCCTGACTCAAGTCAGAATAATCCTCTTCAAGCCTCTTAGACCACTCGCATCTGCTCTCTGGGTTTGCTTTGTATCTTAGCTTGGAGAGGGGAAGGGGTAGGTTCTGTTTAGGATTCTAGGGTGGGACAACTTTAGTCCTGCTGGCTGGAGGTCACCGCCAGGGCTTGGGCTCCCAAGGGTCACCATCTTGAATGAGAATGACTCATTCAGTCCCACTCTCAAACTGCCTGTATGCAGAGGCCTTGGGAGGAGGCTCTGGGAATAACGTGGGGTCCCATCAGACCCACATGGGCTGACCTACGCTGAGGAGCCTCCTGCTGCTGCTACTCTACAACTTCCTGCCCAGGCCAAAGGAGGAGAGGCAGAGGGCCTGCCGACACACCCATCTCTTCCCTTCCAGTTCTGCTAACAGACTCCGAGCTCAGTCTGCAGGAACCCATGGTACCTGCCAAGCTGGGGACCCAGGCAGAGAAGGACCGGCGACTGAAGAAGAAGTAAGAGCCATAAGCCRGGCTCTGCCTGGGCCCCACCCACTCTCCTTCCCTTAAGCTACCATGGGGCTGAGCTCTGGGAACCGTAGCCCAGCAAGGCCCTCCCTGAGCTGAGTCGGCCATCAGTGAGCACATCAGGGGCTGCCCTGAGTTGGGAGAGGGTCTTAGGATGGTCCCAGGGAGAAGGAGGCAAGGGGGCTTTGGGAGAGTGACTTGGGACCCATGGGTCTTGGCAGGGCGGTTTAGAATGACTAATCAGTATGTGTCAGGTCCTGTGCACGGTGAGAGCCTCTGCTCTGTGGCATGGAGAGGTGTTCTTGCTCTGCTTCTTGGTATCGCAGTGCTGCAGGTGTAGAGAGGAGGAGTCCACAGTGGGGAGCAGGGAAGTGGGAGTCCCAACCCTTGACCCACCCCAGTGGTCCCCAGGAGACAGCCCGGTTGAGTCTCTTGTTTCTTCTTCTACAAGACACCAGCTGCTTGAGGATGCCCGCAGGAAAGGAATGCCCTTTGCCCAGTGGGACGGCCCCACTGTGGTCTCTTGGCTGGAGGTGAGCCTGGCTGAGGGCACCTGCTCTGGGGTCTGGGGGGAAGATTCTGTGGGGCGGGATGAGAACTCCTGGCAGCGGTGGTGTTCCTACAACTTTCCCAGCATGTGTCTGTCTCTCCTGTCAAGTTGCATGTGCCAGGTCAAGCATCCAGCTCCTCCCCCCCCCCCAGCCCCCTGCAAACACACATAGCACTTTGAAGGACAGAACTGATGCTACTTTGTAACTGAGTTTGGATAAGAGGGACCAATAACTGAAGCCACAGACAATTTGACTCTTCCTAAAGGCTGCCCAGGAGCCATGCAAAGAAAATTCCTTCACCTTCCCAGGCCCTAATTTGTAACCCCCACCTTGTCCATCATCCTACGTAGGATACCTATAAAAACTCAAACTAAGCAACTTTATTTATTTATTTGTGTTCCAATAAAACTTTATTCATAAAACATGTAGATGGCCAGCTTTAGCCCTATGGACCACAGTTTGCCTATTCTTGATATAGTGGAAAAGGATAATAACTTGTGATCATGATTCCCATTTTAACTCTTTTTTAATAACTTTTTAAAATTTATTTATTTTGATTAGGTAGATATGACAGCAGAATGCATTTTGATTCATTGTACACAAATGCAGCACAACTTTATGTTTCTATAGTTGTACATGATATAGCATCGCACTGTATGTGAGGTCATACATGTACCTAGGGTAATGATAGGTATCCTATAACCTTTTACAGTTTTTTCTAGGTGTCCTATATGTTGGATGATGGGATGTAATCTGTACTATGGGAAAGGGAGTTTGATGATAGTCATCTTCATATTTCTAAGTTCCTGTGCTTTGTTTTTGCTATATCAAGATCATGGATGAGACCTAGCCTTTGACCCTGGCTTAGTATGGTCAAAGTCTTGGCAGTAGGCTCAGGTCTTGGGGGAAGGGACTGAATTATTACCCCCTGCCCCACGCTGTGTCCCATGTCTGCAGCTATGGGTGGGGATGCCTGCCTGGTATGTGGCAGCCTGCCGGGCCAACGTCAAGAGTGGTGCCATCATGTCTGCCCTGTCGGACACAGAAATTCAGCGGGAGATCGGCATCAGCAATGCCCTGCACCGGCTCAAGCTCCGGCTAGCCATCCAGGAGATGGTATCGCTGACCAGCCCCTCGGCCCCGCCCACCTCCAGGACAGTGAGTGGCTTATCCCTCACCCAGGACATTTACAGAAGCCCTGGAATAGTGTTAGCAAAGTCTCTCATTGGTCTTCAGAAAGATGGTAGCATTGAGCCCTTAACTTCCCACCTCCACAAAATGCTCTCCCTACTCTTTAGGAGGGTTCAGCATTGGTTCTAAGAGAATCCAGCAGTCCTGGTTCCCTGCCTGCCACATACTGTTTGTGGGCTCCATTTCTCTGTCCCTACCTGACAAAAATTCCTCATCTCTGGGAGGAGACTTCCAGGTTCTGTGTTATTGTCAGGTTGGGGAAAGTAGAGGCGAGAGAGCATTTATGAATTTTGTCCTGTCCTCTAACCTCAGCACAAGAATGCAGACTACTCCACGGACCCCAAGGTGAAATGTCATTGTTACTTGTCACTGTGACTGGGGTCAGCCCCTTTTCAGGTCAGCACCACTCTTTCATATTTGTCCAGGAGACATTTGTGAGTGCTTTCTACTCTGCAGGCACTGTGCTAGCAGTGTGGATACCGTGATAGTGCTCTGCTGTCAGCTTGCTCCCTGCTGGACACAGTGCAGAGCTCTGGGCTGGGCATATGGGGGACTTGGGGGAAGGCAGCTCTGCTCTCTGGGCCTCCAAGCCTTTTAGGGATCCTGGGACACTGCCTTCCCTGCCCAGGGCTAACTAGATTTTTTCCCTGCAGTCTTCTGGGAATGTCTGGGTCACCCATGAGGAGATGGAAACTCTGGCAACATCCACCAAAACAGTGAGTCTGGCCCTTGGCTCTGACCCTGGGGTTAGGGTARATGACTCCCAGGAGAATGAAGGGAAGACTGTGGGAGGTCAGAGGGGCGGGCAGTAGACCTCAGGTTGGTATCCTGGGTTCCCTTCTCAGGGCAGAGTATTGTGGGGGAAGAGGTGAGACTGGGAAGAGTTAGAGTCTGTATGGGGTCTCCTGGGCATCATGAGCTTACCCACAGCCCCTGGAATATTGCAGTGGAGAAAAGCTGGGCAGGAGAGGGCTTTGTCCTGCTGTGGGCCTGAGGCCTACCCTTGACTTTGACCCTTGGTGGAGGAACTGGGAAGGTTGGGGAAGCTGACATCTTGCCTGGCACTTAGACAAGCCTGGGAGACTTGGAAGCAGTTTTTTTTTTTTTTTTTTTTTTTGCCATACACATTTGCTCCTGTTTCACCACAAACACAGCCACAGGCACCATCCTGCTGCCCCCTCCTGGGCATCCCATGAGCTTTCCCCAGTTACCTCCCAGCTACTGGGGTGTGTCCTCCTCCTCTCTGATGGGTCCTGGGGCAGGAGCTCCAGGTTGCTTGACTTTGCCTGTTTCCCTGACATGCTGCACTTGTTCCTGCTAGGACAGTGAGGAGGGCAGCTGGGCTCAGGTAAGACTCCATCCGGATCAGAACCAACTCTCAGCTGGTCAGGCCAGGATCTTCCAAGCAGCTTCTCTTCCCAGCAGGACTGTCCCACTCCCAATGTGTGTCTTCCCTCTGCTTCCTGAGTCCTGGATGTAGGTTCTTTCTTGCTGAACCCCCCACCACCTCCTCTTTAGCTGCTTATTCTGGTTGCTCAGGATGGCAGGTGAGGAGCCCTAGAGGGCTGTGCCCCCAGCATGCCTGGCCCCTCTCCTCAGTTGACTGTCTTCTCAAATGGTGAGACTTAGATTGGTATGAATCTTCATCCTTTCCCGGTCCTTCCCAGGGGTACACAGGTGAACTAACCAAAGGCCTTCCATGCATTCCTCTAGTATGCAAATAATTATTAAGCACCTAGTAGGTTCTAGACCTTTCTAAGCACTCTGAATGCAAAAGTAAAGAAGCAAAGCCCCATGGAGCAGTAAACAAGGAAGGGTATAATATCAAAAAGCAAGCAGTATTGGGGCTGTGGCTGTGGCTCAGTGGTAGAGCCCTTGCCTAGCACATGTAAGGCACTGGGTTTGATCCTGAGCACCATATAAAAATAAACAAATAAATAAAGGCATTCTGTCCAGCTACAACTACAAAAAAAATGTTAAAAGAAAAAAGCAAGCAGTATTAATAGGAATACAAAGGACAGTACTGACAGATAAATAAAGGGTCAATATCAGATAGTGATGAGTGTCATAGTGAAGAATGAAGCATGGAGCMGCACTGTGAATGCCTGCAGGGAAAACCCCATCAGCAGGAGACCGGCAGGCCACTGACAGCACATTCACCTGCAGAACACTAGTCAGCGGAGGTAATGCAGGGACCTGGGAAATATGTTAAATGAAATATGCAAATACCAGTGACTTTATAGAATTTGAAGTTAAAATTTTTTAAAAAGCAAAGTTATTAATATATTGTTTAGAAAAAATACATTGGTGATTATAAAACTTAATTTTTTTAAGTGGAGGAACGCTAGACAGAAATCTCAGCGTGGTGAGTACTTCTGAGCAGTAGGAAATGGGATGGGGTAGATTAGTGGGTGCAGAGAATGTTTTGGTTCTTATCTTGGATGCTGTCTGCAGATGTTAACTTCATTTTTATGCTTAATAATGGACATATGGGACACACGATTTTATAAGTGTCAACAATTTCATTTTTAAAATATTTTTTTAGTTGTAGATGGGCTTAATACCTTTATTTTATTTATTTTTATGTGGTGCTAAGAATTGAGCTCAGTGCCTCACACATGCTAGGCAAGTGCTCTGCCACTGAGCCACAACCCCAGCCCCAACAATTTCATTTTAAAAGCTAACAAAATGGAAAATTTCAATCTTAAAATATCAATTAGGGTAAGGGAATAGTGGTGGAAAGCTTGATATCAACAACTAAAGCTTTCGTTCACATATATATATTTTTTAGTTGTAGATGGACACAATATTTTTATTTTATTTGTTTATTTTTATGTGGTGCTGAGGATTGAACCCAGTGCCTCGCTTGCTGTACCACTGAGCTCCAGCTTCAGCCCAACAACAAAGGCTTTCTAAAGCTGGGTGGTCAGAGAGCCCTGCTTGCCCACATCAGGAGGGATGTCTAGAGGGTGTGGGCTTAGAGCCAGGTGGAGGGTGTGGGGTGCGAGCAAAGGTTCTGGAGAGTTCTTGGAGCAGAAGACCAAGTCTTAGAGAACCAAACTGGCTGTTCTGACACAGGCCACTGACCTTTGTTTTTTTCTGTCTTTGGCTAATGTTCAACATCCCTGTTGACTACAAGGCCAGCCATTTCCAGTGAGGCTGGCATCCTATACCCCTCTGTAGGGCACTGCAACACAGCCTTGTCCCTGGGCTCAGTGGTCTGGAAGCTCCCTAAGAACTGGGAAGGCAGGTTGGCAGCACAGTGCCACCCAGGCATTCCAGAGATGACAGGAAGGACGTCGTGTTCTCCACTGTCTAGACAGTTGCTCCCATTCGTTAGGGTAGATAATTGATATGTGAGTGGAACTAGATGGTTCTGGTATCTTGAAAAGTTCCATTTAAAATCCCCCACCACGACAAGCCCCCTAGTGAAAAGAAACTGAAATTTCATTGAACTGCTCTCCCTCCCTCGTGGGTGGAAGATGGAGTAATGTTTCTGGACCAGGTATTCCAGGCGCAACCTGATGGCCCCACTGCCTCCCCCACAGCCTGCTCCTTCTCATCCCACAGACCCTGGCTTATGGAGACATGAACCATGAATGGATTGGGAACGAATGGCTGCCCAGCCTGGGGCTCCCCCAGTACCGCAGCTACTTCATGGAGTGCCTGGTGGATGCACGCATGCTGGACCACCTCACCAAGAAGGACCTGCGCGTCCACCTGAAGATGGTGGACAGCTTCCATCGGTGAGCCAGGCTGGAGCCAGGGCCCCCTCCCTGACACTGGTCTTCTGACAAAGGACTGGGGTCTGTCTCTAGGAATAGAGGCCCCTCTCACCTCTTTCTATGGCCTGTTCTGGGTGGTAACAGGTCTCCTATTGGGAAAGTCTTCCTCTTTGAGTTCTTGCCTCATCCTGCAATTTGAGGATTTGGTTCTCTTAATGCTAACCCTTAGGGCACAAAAAGTCATTTCTTGCTAGCATCATCTTCTTTGCGATTTTTCTCCTAAGTCTGCATTTCATTGCTTGTCTTGGGATTCCTGAATTCTCTGTGCTTACCCTGAGGAGGCTCAAACCAAATCTGGCATTTGATTTAGGTGTCTCATTCCTTCCAAGTTGAGGGGAAAGAACTTTCTGGGACTTTGCCCTRCCAACGTCCCAGCTGGGAGCCCTTCAGCTTTGGACTCGTGTCTTTTTGTACAGGGTATCCAGTCCTCTCCTCTTCTTTACTGAAGGGATCTTTTGTTCAAAAATGTCATAGTTGAAGTCCTAAACTGGCAGCCCGTGGGCAGGATTTGGCCTACTGATATGTTTTGTTTGGCCCACATGCATTTTAAAAATCATGAGTTTAGTTGCCAGTACTTCAACAGTAGGAGATTTTATGCAAACTTCTGGATTTCTGGCTTCTCCTGAAAACTTGAAAGTGCTATCAGTACATTTTAGCTGGGAAACAACCAGCTGTAGCTAGAGTGTAGATGTAGCTTCTCCAGGACCGGGGAGTCCTTTTCCAGATCTTCCCAGCCCCTCCTTCCTGCTTCCTTCACTTAATTACCTGCCTGGTCCCAAGAGGCATTTGGGTTGGAGAACCAGGTAGGTGGTGATCGTTCCAGGAGTTGACAGTTTTTATGAAGTGCTTCACAGCATCTAGCTGCAAGTAGCTTGGATTGCTATTTAAGTCTGGTCTTTTCCCTTGAGTGGATAATGAGACAAGGGGTGGAACCAGGGATAAGTGGCTTTTCACGCTTCCCTCAGGGCTCTGTGGATATCCCCCCAAATGTGGGGAAATGTGGCTGTCCTTCAACTCATATACCATGCAAATTTAAATCTGGAATGGACCTAGTCAGTCTCTTCATTGTGTGGATGAGGAAACTGAGGCATAGGAAGGAGTAGGCCAAGGCCGCTCAGTGGAACCGAGTCTGCTGACTCATCCAGTGCTCTTGCCACCACACTGTAGAGACTCCTGTCCTGGACCCTTCATCCCTCCTTACTCCATGGGACTGGTAAGGGCCAACTTGTGAAGGAAGCTTCTCTCCTCCCTTCCCCCACCCCACTGAAAGGGAATCTTTTGTCTCTGTGCAGGAGGCTGCCAGGCCCAGCTGCACCTGTCCCCTCCTCGGTGATTGATGGGATTGGGGAGAAGGGCTAGGGGATACGCCTGGGTTGCTAGAGGACTGTGGAAGTCCTCCTCATGGCCCTCTGCCCAGAGCCTAGCCGGCCACATGGTCACAGGCCCAGCTCCACAAGCCTCACCTCAGCTGTGCGCTTGCTGCTTTGATTCCACTCAACATTTCATCAGCAAGTTCTTAGGTCTTGGAAAAGCCTTTGACATTATGATTTTTATGACAAGAAGGGGATATTTCAAAACTATTTTACAGAGAAAACAAGCCCAATAGAGGGTGAGTTCTATCAGGCCACTCAGCCAGGTGGTGACAATGGGCTAAATAAAGCCCTCATTTCTTGACACCCAGTTCAGAGCACTTTTCCTTGGGACAGGGCATTCTGTTGAGCAGGTAAACCCAAGGAGCTCCTGTTGGGTAGAACCCGCACACGCAATAATCAGAACTGCCGTCCTAACAGTGGTCCCATTTCTGAGCACCTGCGATGTTCCAGGGGCTGGACCAAACCCTTCCAGTCACTCACCTTTGTCCTCACCACAACTCCAATATAGAGATAGGACCCATCTCACAGTTGCACAGTGCCCCTCAGCTAACAGATGGCAGAACTGCTATTGAAACCTAGTGCGGCCAAACTTAAGGTCTTTTATTGTTTTGCGGTGCTGCGCAACAGCTTTCAAAGTCTCAGTAATTGTAGTGAGAATTATAGCAAAATTAAAATTAGTGGGTATTTGCCATCATGAGCTGTTTGTGTTCATGTCCCTTGCAGGGACCAGGACTTAAATCAGTGGCTTGAGCATTTAACAGGTGGCTCAGCCGGAAAAGGGTTCCTAGAAATGGTGTCTCTGAGCCGTGGAAGAGATGCTTCTTGAGTAGAAGTGAGAAGAAAAGAGAGAATAATCTGCATAATTTAATCTTACAGTGCCTCAATAGTAGAGTCAAAACTGCATTTGGKAGGAAACTTCTATTCTTTCTATTTTCTGGTTGGGGAAAGAAAGAATGAGGGACAAAAGTGTATTTAAGTTAAGCAAGAATCTGCTGTTCTCCCAGTAAGCTCCCCTGAGAAGGTAGTGAATCCCCTGTCACTGGGCATATTCAGGTCTTGGCTCTGTGACTGCTCTGGAGGATGCTGTGGAGACCACTCCTGCCTTAGGAAAAGCTGGGACTGTTGATTGTAGGGTCCCTTCTAACCTGCAGCTCTCGTCTTAGCCCGGCTTAGTTATTATTTATTCAGTGCTTATGATGACCTAATACTCTTTAAGTACTCTCAGTAATTTATGTGAATTATTCCATTTAACTCATTCAGCGTTTATACAGGGCCTCTTATGTACTTAGATGTTTAAGATCAGTGGACAAATCAAAGCTCCTTGACTTCATAGAGCTTACATTTTAACTGGGAGAGACAGTTCAGGAACAATAAACTACGGTATGTTACTGGATAAAAAGTGGTAGAAAAAAAATTAGTCTAAGGTAAGGGAGATTGGGAGTGTGGGCCGGGTGTGATGGTGCTGATGGTGCAGTTTCCAATCTGATGAACAAGGTGACTGGTAAATTGGGCTGAGAAGGTGATATTTGAGCAATGCTTAAAGGACAGGAAGCAGTGAGCTGTGCAGCAGACTGGGGAGGAGTGTTCCAAGCAGAGGGAACAGCCAGTGCAAAGACCCTGAGGCACCCAGACCTAGGGAGCCTGCTGTGTTTGAGGAACAGCAGGGGTGTCATGTGGCTACAGCAGAGAGAGCAAGGGAAGAGTTGCCAGAGGGAGGGTGAGACATGTGAGGTAAGGGAACAGGTCATGAGGCATCCGTCTTATAGGCTGTTGAAAGGACTCTGAGTAAAATGGGGAGGTAAAGAAGTATTTTGCTTTTGCTTTTTCTTTGACTTATGGGTGGTAGAGGTCTTGTCATTCCAGTGCCTGGAGAGAAAGGACATGTTCAAAGCACTTTTGTTCTAACAGTCAGGTCCAATCCCTGGCTGAGAAGGAGGATGCAGGGTAGCAGAGAGCACGACATAACCTCTGCAGGGTCACATGCAGGCCTCCGCAGCAGGAAAAGCACAAGGGGGCTGGGGCACTCTTGTGTGGAGGCAGCAGGCCTGGATCTATTGTGGCTGTTGTGGAATGTTGGGCCCATGGGAGACATGGTCCTGCTGAGGGTCTGGCTTGGGGGTTGTGTGCCTGCAGGACCAGCCTTCAGTATGGCATCATGTGTCTGAAGAGGCTGAATTACGACCGGAAGGAGCTGGAGAAGAGGCGGGAAGAGAGCCAGCACGAGATCAAGGGTAAGCTGGTCAGGCCTGGTGGGGGCCTCAGAAAGGTAGGGCCTGCTGGTCCCTTCCTTGGGCTGGGTGGAGAAGGAGCATTCTGAGCTCAGGGAAGCTCCCAATTGGAGAGGAAGGTGCAGTCCTAACCTGGGACAGTGCTGCAGACTGGGCTTCTTCTCATGGAACTTGGTGATCTGGGTGGGGTTGGATGAGAAACAGAGGCAGGTTTTAGAAGAGACTTTGAAGGTGGGAGAATAAAAGGCCACTTTGGCCTGGGTAGGCAGAAGATTCTTGCAGAGGCTCTGGAGTGGCCTTATCCCAAGTCCTGCAGGCTGGCAGGGGTACAGTGAGGTGGGGCTGGTTCTCCAGGAGTCAAGGTATCAGGGATGACAGAGATAAGGTATGGGAGGTTGGGGGAAGGGTGGGAAACAGCAGAGTGATGGGACATTGAGTCAAGAGACCCCTGGAGGGGAGGTTGGGCCAAACCTATGTCTCTTTTTGCTCCTTCTATTCCCCTGCTCTCCAGATGTGCTGGTTTGGACCAATGACCAGGTGGTTCATTGGGTACAGTCCATTGGGCTTCGGGACTATGCAGGAAACCTGCAAGAGAGTGGTGTCCATGGTGCCCTGCTGGCTCTGGATGAGAACTTTGACCACAACACACTGGCCTTGGTCCTCCAGATCCCCACGCAGAACACCCAGGTGGGCAGCCCTTTAATCAATTGGTCTCACTCTTTTTTCTTTTCTTTCTTCCTGGTGTGTATGTGTGCAGGGGGCTTTTCTTGGGCATGCCCCAGAGGGATTGTAATGCCCTCAAACCTCCAAGAGTGGTCCCTATGCCTGGCGAAGGCTCATGGGAATATGATTTTTCACATGAGAAGATGCCTGTTTTTGTCCCCACACTGCTATGGGGACCTCCACTGCCAACACTCTGCATTCCTTTTCCTTGAACAACTTCTCTGACCTGACTTTTCTTACAGGAGAACTAGCTTTGGTCCCCATGGGGACCAGAAAGCCCATATCTCTTTTGTCTGCCATCCTAGGGACCTGCTCCTGGCCTCTCAGGCTTAAGAAAGCTAAATATACCTGCTAGCACAGCCCAGAGCCTTTCAGCGCCAGGGCTTTGTCTGCCCAGCAACAACTCAAAAGATTAGACATCTCCTTAAATTACCTTTCATAATTACTATGGAGCTGTCATCCAAGAATGTATCTAAATTCTCTTGAACCTATTTATATTTTTGGCCTTTCTAACTTCCTGTGGGTAATGGATTTTAGAAGTACTAACAGTTGTATAAAGTACTTCCTGATTTTATTTGTCCTAAAAATGACCCTGTCAGGCTTCCCCTGGGGAAGGAACTCTTAGTTTAGAATTTTTAAGGATGTTTATATTTGATCAGTTCTCACCTTTTGTGAGAACTGTGAATTTCATAAACTCTGAGTATGTTGCCTCTGGGCCCAAGCCTTTGTCTCTCCAGACAGAGTGGTCTTAATTCTTTTAGCCTTTCCTCATATAGACTTGCCTCTGTCCCTGATCATTTTAGCTGCCCTTGTCTGGACTGTTTGCAGCTGTCAGATCGCTTTTGAAATTCAGCCACCAGGGCTGCATAGGCTATTCTGGGAGCAGATGTGTTTTAGCTTGAGGGAGGGTGGTGCTGTGTTGTGCTGTAGTTCTGGGGTGTGTGTTGGCCTTTGGGGGTGATAGTAGCACACTGGGCCAGTGTGTCCTATAGTACCCCTCCTAATCAGTCAAAATAGATAGTGCAGATCCCCTCTTCTCTAAGAAGATCTCAGATGTCCCCTCAAATGCAATTTCCTTACACTTGCCCATCTCAAACTCACTTGCTACCTTCCTGCTCACTCATATGGCTCTGCAAGGTGTTTCTGAAGTTGATACCTGTCCACTTGACCATTCACAACTCAGAGGAACAGCATCATGAGATTCTTGAAAATATTATCAGGCTTCTCCTTTAAGATCATGTGTAGGACTATCATGTTCTCAATACCGATAAAGACAGTATTAGACTGTAAAGACCGATGCAGAAAGCTATGGTTAATTTTATTTATCACAAAATGGGCTTTTCTTTTCCTTCCTATCTCAAAATGCCTTCAGTTATTTTTTATTTGTTTTGTTTTGGGGGGAGTGCTGGGGATTGAACCCAGGGGTGCTTAACCACTGAGCCACATCCCCAGCCCTTTTTATATTTTATTTTGAGACAGGGTCTCGCTAAACTGCCTAGGACCTCAATAAATTGCTGAGGCTGGCTTTGAACTTGTGATCCTCCTGCCTCAGCCTCCCAAGCTGCTGGAGTTATAGGTGTGTGCCACTGTGCCCAGCTGCCTTCAGTTTTTGTAGATGGCAATATTTCTGAAAATTGTAGCAGCAGCATTTCTATGGCTTTCTAGACTTTCTTATTTCCTGACTCATTCATTTAGCATATTAGCTGTTGGGGAAATGCTATCTGATCCAATATGGAGTCCATTGTTTAAAATGGTCAAAAATATCTGTTGGCATAAAATTTTGAAAACATTCCTGTTTCTGGCAATGTTCTTTGTGAGTTCATTTCTAGGAGGTCTAGAGAAAGCTTCTGTACATCATGCAGCCCAGGGCCACCAACAGCCATGACTGAGCTGTTGGTTTAAATTCATGATATGGAAACTTGCAAATAGATTTATTTAATCCAGATAAGTTGTTTTGGTTATCTGTGGTCTGCATACTTATCTCCCAATCGCCTCCAAAGGTAGTCAGACATGATTTTCCCCTTGTAGACAAAATGTTTGCTTGTTTTCCCAGTAGGTAAAGCCTTTCCATCCATATGTTCTGGGATCCTATTTTTTAAAAAAAAAATTTACATTTTTTTCTGTTTTCACCATATGAAAGAACCTAAAGGTTAACATTTCCAAGAGGACACTGAGGTTTGCTTGGAGGGGTAACCTCAGAAGTGTGAAGGACTAAGTGTATCAAGCCCTGCCACATCTCTGCCCTTGGACCCTAGGAAGCAGGTGAAAGATGACATAAAGGTCCTTAACTATGCCCTGTTCACCTTCCCTTCTCTCACCCTGTGGACTCCAGGCCCGCCAGGTGATGGAGAGAGAGTTCAATAACCTCTTGGCCTTGGGCACAGACCGGAAGCTGGATGATGTGAGTACATGGTCATGAATTCAGGGCCTTGGGGATTTGGTCATGGTCAGTTGGGTTGAAGTTCATGAATTCTTCTTTCCCTGACTGATCATTGGTGGGCTAGCCTAAGGGAGGGGAGCCAGAGTGGATAGAGATGATGATAGGGGGTTGGGGGATTGGGGTGGCAGGTCAGGCTTAGCTGGGCTAGTCTTGGGTAGCAATGGGCTATGAAGAAGTCAATGAAACTCCTTTCTGATAGGCTGAAGGCCCCTATAATTATGCTTCTAGAATTTTCCAACTCTGGGCCCAGCCTTCCTAAGTATGTAGGGTCCAAGGTCTTCCCCCAAGGTCATATCTTTGGGATCATACCTTTGCCTTGGTCTCTGAGACCCCGTGTCTTCAGTGCTGACAGCCAGCATGTCTCTGGCCTGCAGAGTAAGACTGCAGCCCACCCACTGTAGTGTGGTTGTTTGGGGACAGATGCTCTGCTGAGGCTGCTGAATGGCTGCCGTGCTCCCTGTTCCTCAGTGCAGCCTGATGCAGTGAAAACTGGTTCCGGCTTTACCATCCCAACTTTCTAGTTGCACTCTTCTGTCTCCCTTCACTCCAYGTGGAAGTTTCCCTCTTGCAGCCCTCCTGCCGCTGAAGACACAGTCCTTTGCCCCTAGTTTCTTCAGGCCTTCCCTTTGGGTTTAGGGACAACCCTGACATCCTGAGCCATAGTGCTCCCCTAGAGATGCTACTTCTGCACACCTGTTTCCTGAGGACACACTCCTCCTCAGCCCCACCTTCCCTGCCCCCACTCACTTTCCTTTCACCAACCTTGCTTGCCCTTGGCTGTCATGGCTGCCGTAGCTGATTTGGCTCCAAACAAGTTTTAAAAAGGGCCCAGGCTATTTATTTTTAGCTTCTCCATCTTCAGTCAGATCATTGTTTCTTAGTTGGGTTTAACAAGGCTAAAAACCACCTTTGTAGAGTGATTGCCCTGCCCTAGTAGACAGGACACACTGGGGAATACACAGAATTTGTGGAGGTATGCTTTCTTCACAGAGGCACCTTGAAATTGTTGGAGGGTGGTAACTCTGTGTGTGTGTTTATATGTGTGTGTATGTGTGTGTGTGTGCGTGTGTGTGTGCGTGCGCATGTGTGTCTGTGTGTGTCTTTGTATCTCAATCAAGGAGATAAATTCGTACTCCCCAACTGTCCCCACTCTAGAGATCTTAATTTTCCCWTTGCCTACCACTTAGCCCCCACACACACACCTAGATAGGATCTTAGCTTTCTTCGTTGCTATCTGGAAAAATGAGCCCCATATATATTAGCACGGTGCTTCTAATTTAGAAAATTATCTATTCCTTCAGTTCTTACAGAAATACTCGGAATGCCTGCTGTGTTCCAGGGATAGGCCAGGCAGGGTGGCACAACGTTACAGAGGTTTCACTTTGTGCTAACAGTCATCTATGGAATGGGTTACTATCCCCATCTAGGAATGGGTTACTATCCCCATCTTAGAGATGAAGACATTGAAGCTTAAAGAAATACTTTACTGGGTTGTAGCTCCGTGGTAGATCACTTTCCTAGCATGTGCTAGGGTTCAATCCCCAGCACTGAAAAGGAAAAGGGCAGAGTTGAGGTGTAGAGAACAGAACTGAAGTAGATGTGTGTTGATTCCTGTGCTCTCTCCCCTGCATCCTGCTACCTACTGGAAGCTGGCATGGCTGGCTGATCTATAAGACTTTGAGGTGGAGTTATGGAGTTGAGTGGGTGATGCCGTTGGTCAGTGCAGTGAGGTTTCTGAGTGGGACTATAGAGGACTGGTTCTTGCAGGGAGCTTAAAGCAGAAGCCAAGGCCTGGGAAAGGGTGAAATTTGGTGAGGGGGCTGGGCAGAGACCTGTGGAAGCTGCTTCCTATCTAGCTGTCTAGTGCTTCTCCAACAACCTGGAGCTGTGTCTTGCTACTAGTCCTGTCAGTTCTGGTTCTGTTCCCTTTCTCCAACTTCAAGGCTCTGCAAAGCTGTAGCAAGTTCTCCTTCTCCATGGAGATCAGGACCGAAGGGAAATCTGGAGGGATAGGAAGAACAWGGAGCTTCCTAGGGGACAGAGGAGGAATACAGCAGGAAGTCCTTAGGATTGGCTGAAAGTAGAAATGGGGGCTGAGAGAAAGGGCTCCAGGCTAGTTAGGAGCAGGACATGAGGAAGCYGTAGGTCCCTGCCAAGTTCAGGAATGGACTCCTGTGTAGGGAACCACTGCCACATATTATTTAACAAATATTTGTTGAACGCCTACAGTATTCCCAGACACTACTCAGGAACTGGGGAGACATTGGTTGGAACAAAAAAGATCACGGTTTCTGCAATCATGGAACATAGAATTTGAGAGAGAGGAAAAGAGGGATAAAGTGAAAGGGTAGGGGGAGGGAGGGATTGAGCAGGTAAATGAAGGAGAGGAAGAAAATAATGAAATAATCCCCTAAATCCATAAAAAATGCTACTGGAACTAGTGCTGTGACAGAGATACCTGGTGCTAAGAATCGATTAGAATGTTTGGTCTCCAAGGGCTCAAACAACAATCTTAGCCAAGCCAGGTGACATACCTATAATCCCAGTTACTCAGGAGGCTGAGGTAGGAGGATTGCAAACTCAAGGCTAGCCCGAGAAACTAAGCAAGGAGACTCTGTCTCAAAATAAAACAAAAACAAATCCTGAGGGGATGGCACGAGTAGTTGGGAGAAAAGCAAAGGGTTAGTGTCCTTTTCCCTGCTGGGATCACTGTGCCTGCACCCTGGGGCTCTTTCTCCCACACAGGGGCTGGAGAAAATGAGGTGTGACTACAAAGCAGGGTGGATGTGGCTCTAAAGGGTGGAGTGGGAGGCCTTTGCAGGGTAGCATCCTGTAGGGTTGTGGCCCTGGTGCCCTCTAGTAGAGATAGTTATTTTGGAGACTTGGTGTCATCTGTGAGGTGGCAGATGGATCAGGACTGCCAGTCATGTCCTTTGGAGTATGTCTCTGGTCATCACCCATCACTGTCAAAGGGTTCTCTCATCTGATCCTGTTGGATAGGTAATCTGAGAAGTAGTTGGACAGATGTTGGTGTTCCTGATTTACAGAGGAGGAAACTGAGGCTTAGAGAGGTCACTTAACTTGCCGAAGGGCACACAGCGGGTAATATGGCAGAGTCAAGATTGGAAGTCAGGTATCCTGACTGCCAACACAGTGCTCTTCCAGGATACCTGGGTGATAGTCTTAGGACGCAGAAGGACAGGAGAGCATGTGTGAGGACTGTCCTGTGCGTTTCTATGGGAGACTGAGAAAAGGAACACCTTGAAAGTCCAATGGGTACCCCAAACTCGGGCTTAGAAGATTAATGTGGGTAGAGAAGCAGAGTCCWATGCCAGATGACAGATCTGACCAGAAGGCTCTCCCGTTCTTCCCCCGGGAGACGTTAGAGAGTTGCAAGGACCCATGGGAGTCATCCACCTCAACTCCAGATTTATCCACTGGTGGAAAAAACTGAGGACTAGAAAAGGGAAGTGACCTTGTCCCTTCTTTCCAAAGGGAGTAGTTAGTATCTCCAGAACTAACCACAACTGCCCTTCCTGGGGCAAGGAGTGAGAGTGACGATCACAACCTCCTTGGGCCTCTGCGTGTCTCCACCTTGCAGGGGGAGGACAAGGTGTTCCGCCGCGCGCCCTCCTGGAGGAAACGCTTCCGGCCGCGGGACCACCACAGCGGCGGCATGCTGGGCACCTCGGCAGAGACGCTCCCGGCAGGCTTCCGCGTGTCCTCCCTGGGGACCCTGCAGCCCCCTCCCGGCCCTCCCAAGAAAGTCATGCCTGAAGGTGAGTGACCGGCTGGCTGGGCATGACCGAGGCCCCGCTGGGCGCGGGCTCCAGACCAGGAGTCCCGGGCCAAGCCGGGTGGAGGGCGCGCGGCCGGAGCTAGCGGCCCCTCGCACCCTTGGGCTGACACTGCACTAACGGCTGCCGCGGGGAGCGCTGCGGGCAGCCCCTGCCGAGGAGTGTGTCGCTGCGGCCCGCGAGCAAGCGTGTGCGCGCACTAACCCCGCGCTCTGTGTGTTCTCCCGCTGCCGACTCCTCCCAGCCGGGCCGGCGGGGGCGCAGAGACTGGAGACCTCCACGGTTCGGACCTACTCCTGCTGACCCCCACCCTCCCGCCCCGGGTCTGACGGGGGTGTGCCCCTGGCTCGGGGTAAGTGGGCCAGGCCCTGGGACGCGGGCGCCTGCTGCTGCGCTCGGCCCCACACGCCTGCCCCTGGCCGCCGGCCTGGCCCTGCCACCCGGCCCTGCCACCCCAGTCCCGCTCGCCAGCACTGCCCGGCTTGCCCCTTCCTGCTTCGTGTGGCCTGGGGCGCTTTGTGCTTGGGAGCATGCCGCAGACCCCTCGCAAGCTGCCTCCCAGGGACTGCCTGCCTGCCCACAGCGCGTGCCTCTCTTCTCTCYCAGCTCATTCCCACTATCTCTACGGACACATGCTCTCCGCCTTCCGGGACTAGCCACGGCCTGGGCCGGCGTCCTTCTGGTTTCACAGGCTCAGCCGGCCCTGACCCCTCCTGCTCGTTCCCCTTCTTCCACGGCTCCTAGTCTCGTCCGTCCGTGACCTTCCGGTTACCCTGGATCTCAGAATATATTCATCTATCCCCTCGACATCCCACTACTCCTGAATCCCACTGCGTGTCCTTTGTAAGTCTCGTGGTTGTGGCTGGGGTCTCCCGTGTTGTGGAGGCACTCGGGTTGTCCATGCCTGGGATTCTGGGGGAAGAGAGAAGGGCAGCCGGCAGTGGCTGTGACCTCACCCTCCCTCTGGACCTGGCCTTGTTTGGACTGCGCCCTCCACCAGGAGGATCCTGGGTCAAGGACTGAGATGGCCCTTTCAAAAAAGGTGGCACTTCACACTGTCCTGTTTGGGTTATTTGGTCTTTTGGTCCCTGTCCACTCTGGTTGTGCCAGATTGTCTGAGGGTTGGTTTTGGCACCCTCAGCTCCACCCTCCCCCAGTCCATCACCACCACTTGCAGCTTCTGCCTTGAGGACTTGCTGAGGCCAGGAGAGGATCTAGGAAACCTGAGGTAGAAATTCTGAGTCCCCACTCAAACTGAATCCCAAACATGAGTTTGGGAAGAATCAGAGCAAAATGGACCACAGTTTTGGGCTAAGGTGAGGGTGGGGAAACTCTTAGCCCCATGCCCAGTAAGCCGGGTGGGCAGGCAAGCTAGTAGGAGAGCTGATGACCTCTGGTAGCCTTAAGCTCAAAGGACAGTAGGAATGATACCAGCCCCACCCAAAGGGTGGAGCTTCATCTGGGCTGGGAGGAGGGACCCTTGAGTGCATCATAACCCTGGGGCAGAACAGATCCCACTAGGTTCTGCCCACTGTGACCCCAGCATCTCTTCCCCATCCTCCTCTGCCTTACTTATTCAGTAATCCCAGCCCCCTAAAAATGAACCCGATGAGTGGATTGAATATACATTGACCCTAAAAGCAGATTTGGGAAAAAGACAGTCTGAAGCTTCCTTCCTTTGACCTGCTGAGAAGAAAAAGCTTCCCCTTCTGAGAATCATGTCCCAGGCCTAGGAAATGTAGTGTTGATGAAGGAAATCATTCCTGCTTGTCCCTAAATCATCCAACCCTCTTCAGGACTCTTTTGCTGTGCAGGGACTGTCACCTCCAGAAATTTCTGAGACCCACCCAGCTTTCACCATTTTGTTTTCCCTATCAGCATGGTGGGAATGGGCAGAGGGCTGCAGGTCCTGGTTTGGGAGAAATACTGTTCCCAGAAATCTCTCTTCCCTACCCATTCCTTCATCTTACCAAGGTGCCTGAAAGTGCTTGGGACTCAAGTTCATGGGTTGATGGGATCTAGGGCTTCATCCAAGTGAGAGGAGAGGGAGGGTGTCTGGGCGTGTTAGTTGGAGAGATGCCAGTGCAGCGCCATCCTACAGGTGGCCGGAGCAGCTGGTTTGCAGCCTGTTCCACTTGGCTCTGAGCAGGGCTAGGCTAGCAAGTGGAGTAATGGGCCACAGCACCCTGTCCTGAAGGACTGCTGGAACCTGGAGCTGTCCTGGGACTTAGAGCCTGATGCTCCCTCTTAGTAGAGGGAGCTTGTCCAGTGGTGTGTCTAGGGGCCTCTCCCCTGGGCTGGGCCAGGCAACCACCTGCCCTTGCTCTCTGTCATTGCTTCCTGCCCTTCCTGCCATCAGGCTTCTAGGAATAGAGACAGAGCATACAATGAATCGGGTAGAGAGAACACGCCCCTATTCTTGGGTAACGGATGTTGAAATTATGAACATACTCCAGGTTCCTGAGATGGGTGGAGTGGAGCAGCAGAAGGCCATCTGCCTCCCGCAGGGGAGTCTCATGGCTCGCTGCGTAGGAGAGGCAGCTCTAGCCTCTTCTCTCTGCATCTTCACCTTGTCATGGTTGGCCTTGTCATAGGCGGCAGCTGGGCCCCTTGAAGAGTGTTGCAGGGAGACGATGAAGTGGCATCTACACAGTGATGGAAGGTGGTTGTCTCGGTGTACCCCTTGCCTCATAGTCAATATATTTTTTTCCTTGAGAGTCACCAGTGACCCGAGCCCTCCTCACCAGCCTCCTGTGTCTCACCAGGCCCCTTCTCAGTACTGTATTGGCTCAGTGCATCAGGAGTGGGTGTGTGGGTGTGTGTGGGTGTGAGTGTGGGTATGTGTGTACCAATAAACAACCTGGTTTTAAGACAGTGTACAAGTGGCCTCTGGTCCTTTTTTCTTTTTAAAAACAAAACAAAAAAACAAACAAACTTTGAGCTCACTTGATGGTCCAGCTCCTTTCAGAGTCCCAAGGGCTGCTATCCTCTGGAAAGGAAGTATCAATGTTTTCAAAACTTGTAGTTGATAACCTTCTGTTTACTTATACAACCACAGGATTGATGGGGAAGTTCATGTTTAGGTAGCTTGGGCCACAAAAGAAGAGGCCAAGAGAAAGGGGTGAGGAGCCCAACTCCCGGGCTTGATTGTTTCCTCCTTCATCTCTGAATCTCCTGCCCAGGCTTCCTCGGCTGGTGCTGTTCACACCGCTCCCAGAGCTGCTGCTGTGTGCCCTTTCAGCAGCTCCCTGCCACCTCTAGATATCAGGGTCCAGCTCCTCCTCCTGGTGGCCATATGAAGCCATGCATGACTGGGTTCCTTGGCCCTCTTCTCTGTCAGTCTCCAGTCCACCCAGCCCCTCACCAGAATGCAGCCCCACTATTTTTCTTGCCTTTGCAGCTTCAAGTCTTCAGGCCATTTCAATCATCACCCGGGAGATAACGCCTGCCCTTCCCAAGCATAATAGATGACCAGCAGTCCTTAGCCCCCCAGCTCATAGCACATTGTCGTGCTGAGGGTCATTGTTGTCTCCTGGCCTATCTCCATACTGGGCTGAGGACACTTCTGTAGGTCAGTCTCATTGCTCTCTGCATTCCTAGAGGTACTTATTCGAATGATGAACCAACCTTATCTCAGAGGGTTGTTAAAGGATTAATATTAGTAAGAGCTGAAAATTAGTGGGAATTGTGTGGCAGACACTGTTCTAGCCATTCTTTCTTAGTTTGTTCTGGTGCTATGACAAAATACTTAGACTGGGTCATTTATAAATAGCAGAAATTTATTCCTTATAGTTCTGGAGTCTGGAAAGTCCAAGATCAAGCCAGCAGAGTGGGTGTCTGGCAAGGGCCCAGTCCTCAGAGATGGCACTTTCTTGAAACATTTGCACATGGTGGAAGGGGTGGAAGGGCTAACTGGGCTCCCAGACCTTTTATAAGAACACAAATGCCATGCATGAGGGTTCTACCCTCATGATCTAATCACCTTCTAAAGGCCTGTTTTTATTTGTTTTGCAGAACTGGGCATTGAATCCAGCTGCTCTCTGCCACTGAGCCATAACCCCAACCCTTTTTTATTTGTTGTCTTGAAACAGGGTCTCTCTCAGTTGCTGAGGCTGGCCTCAAATTTGCCATCCTCCTGTCTCAGCTCCTGAGCCTGAAGTCTATGGGATTATAGGTGTGTGCCACTGGTCTTGGCTCAGGCCTGTTAATACTGTTGCATTGGGGACTATGAATTTTTGGAGAAACAAACTTTACTCATAGCACATACCAAGTCGATTAATTTATTTAATCTTTACAAACCTGTAATTATATAGAACAAGAAATTTTAAGGCTAATATCACAGAGCTGGGAAGAAAGAGTTGTCAAACTTGGTCTGCCAAACTGTAGGGTCCTTGACCACAGTCCAGATGTTAAAAATCCTGACCCAGGACCAGGAGAGCTTGGCAATGTTACATGCTTCTTTTTTAAGTGAACTCATGCTTTCCCCAAGCTTCCCCAGCTCTTACCCCACCTCCCAGATGGCCTGTGCCACTCAGATGGCTTATCAATTGTCACGGGGCCACATTTGCTCTGTTCATCTAAATGGCAAACTCCCGTACATTCAGCATAATGTGTGGTATATCCTCATCTCCTTTCGTGGTCATCAGTGCCCCAACACTGATGGAGCAAGGGAGGCAGAGTCCATAGCACAGGTGACTAGAGAGGAGCAAGACAAAGCAACATGACACAGCCAGGAAGGGCATACAAAGGCGAGGGAAGGTGAGGGAAGGTACTGGCCTAGCGCATACGGGCCTCTCCCCCTCCCTGAGCCTTGGTGACCAGCTGTCTACAGGAATGAGCTCTGAGGGGCTGGGAAAACCATGCCTTCCTCCCGTTGCCATCCACTGGGGTGGRGATGCAGAGGAGCAGGCTCATGTGGAAACGTGGGTTTGATTTGGGACATGCTGAGCTTGAGATGAGACCCCCAGCATCATGTTTCTCTTAGCATTTGTAGAAAAGAAAGAAGACTCTAGGTTTCTTTCCAGTGATACTTTCCTTTCCCCCTCTAGGAATGTTCTAAGCAGACTGAGAGGCAGGGAGTCTGGGTCTTTGGAGGTCAGAGAGGAGGCACAACTGAGTGGCCTAGAGGTGGTGATGTGGGTTCCCACTCAGGCCTAGGCTGTGCTTCCTTAGCCAAGTCCCCGGCTCAGCCTGGAATGTTCCAGTCACCAGCCTGGAGCCTGGATACCAGGAATTTAAAGAAGTCCAAGAACCATGACATGTTGGGATGGTGTCTTACCCATCAACAGATATCTGAGTTGAAGGGGCTCCTCCCCTCTCACCCTCCATTGTAGCCCCCTAATCTCCCTCTCCAGTTGGTCCAACCACCGACTACACCAGCATTAAAAAGGTTTTCCAGCCCGCCAAATAAATTACCTGGAGAAGCTGGATACCAAGAATGTTTATTGGAGTGTACAAATAGTACTTAAAGCATTCTGCAATTCCCAATAATTATCTAAGAAGTTCCTGTTTCCACACTAACAACTGATATGCCAATTTCAAGTAATTCTTACCTTTTCATTCTAGTGTATTCCCTAATGTCCATAATTAGGTGACATTTGATTAACCTAGCTTGATTTATGGTAGGTGCTTCCACTGAAGAAGGAGATCGAGCTAATTTCCCTAAAGAACTCCACCTCATTATTCATTAATTGGAGTTTTATCTGTAATTCTATTGTGAAGGTTAAGGATTTGTTAATTTAAGAAAGCTCCTTTGATGACAGTTGTTTATTCTGTGAAAATGCTGAGTGAGCCGGGCCTCCTCTGGGTCTCTGTTTGCCATTCACACCTGTGCAGCTCCAGCAAATTGTTTCTCCCCGTGGACTTAAAGACTGTGATGAAGTAGGTAGATAACAAGGGCAGGACCTGTTGACTCTATTGCTGAGGCCCGACTGTGTGAATATGAACCTCAGTTTCCAACTGACGTGATAACTGGAGAGGAATGGACTTTGGCAGACACAACATCTTTGTTTGTATGTGGTGCTGAGGATCGAACCTGGACCGCATGCATGCCAGGTGAGCGCGCTACTGCTTGAGCCACATCCCCTGCCCAAGGAATGGACTTTGAAAATGAATTCTGCGCTGAGGATGTAGCTCAGTGGTAGAACTCTAGCCTAGCACGTGCAAGCCCTGGGTTCAATCCCCAGCACTGTAAAAAAAAAAAAAAAAAAGCTTCCAGCAATCCCAGAGCCTATCAGCTCCTTAGTGTTGTTGAGCACCCTTCTTCTTGGCCAGCTCTAGATCCCAGGAAGAAGCAGGACAAGGGATAGGAAGGTCACCATTGAATGATGCAGTGGAGTTKTATCCTCCCTAGGAGCTTGGGAGGTGCCAGGGCAGAGGAAATGAACCCAAGGGGAGAAGAACCCCTTCCCTTCATAGTTGAGTATTTTGGTGGGTAGTGAGGGAGTGAATGTGGCAAGGCATGGTGGCCAGCTGGTTGCCTTCCTCACCCTAGGGCAGGGAGTCAGGGCTAAGAGTCATGGAAATGACCTATAGAGTCTTTAAACTCAGTGCCAAACTCAAAAAGAAAATCCTACCACTGGGGCAGATTAGGCCAACTTGTGGTTCCCAGTAGGAGCGGCCCTCACTTGTTACTTGGGACA